AAGTCCTTGGTCCTGATTCCCTGATAGCTTTCCTATGCCATTAACAGTCTCCGTTCATTCATCCCTATTAGTGTAGAAGACAGCGCCCTTTCTACTCCCAGGGAGAAGTCACTTTTCAGTCTGTGCTGCATGGGTGCCACCGGCCACATGGTGTGGTTTGCATGTCTACCCGGGTGTGCACTCATCTTCTTAAAATGGAGTCAGTGTCAGAGGGCAAGACTCGGCCAGGAGAACTACCGTGTCCACGATGTGGAGTAACTTAGAGCAGAGGGCAACCTGGTCTCAGCATCAAGCTTCTAGACAAGCTCTTTCCTGCTGCACCTCCCTGGCCCAGAATACTTTTAGTTCTGTTCTGTTTTGTTTTCTTTTTGAGACAGGGCCTCATGTAGTCCAGGCTGGTCTTGAACTCCTGACCTCCTGCTTCCACCTGCAGGTGCTAGGATTGCTGGTGTGCACCACCCTGACCTGTCTCCATCTCTCCTTCCCCCATACTCTCCAGTGTAGTAGCAGAGTTATTAAGGCCTGGCATCCCTAACCGGACAGGCTCAGCTGGCCTCAGAAAGCCAATTACAGAGATAAATTAGCAATGAAAAGCAAGCGTGAGTGAGACAGGGGGACAGAGGCAGAAGCGGGGGGGAGGGGGCACAAACCCAGTCAGAGTGGCCACTTCAAGAAGAGGGACAATGAGATCCACTGACTCTCACTCATGCTCTAAATTCACCTTCAGGGTCCTAGCATGATGCACAGGTTTAAGTAAAGAGCCAGAGTTGCACACAACTAAGCAATTCCGGTCAGGGTGTGGTCCTGTCCACTGACCCACCGTCACTAACCCATCATTATCTTAGCTCCAGTTTCTCCTGCAAGATCCTCTGACAGGTTGCAAGTCTCCCTCTGGGGAACAAATTTCCCCTCTGCCTGACCCTGGGCTTTAGCCGTTTTCTCCTCCTCGCATAAGAATTCCATTTCTTGGGGGCCGTTGTTTCAGGAGTCCGACAGCCAAAGTGAGGGGCACTGTTCTTTAGAATATCCTTGATTCTGTCCATCTGGTTACTAGTGCTCTCCTCTTGATTCTTACAGCCGTTTCCAGTTTGGATTCTGCATGTGCTCAGGACCATCTGGTACCAGTTGCTGCTGCATCTTTAAGGGCAATAGGGTCTTTTCCTTGGTCCCAGTGAGCTTTACTGAGAGTCCCAGGGTGCAGGTGGCGAGCTGTCACCATGTCAGCACTGAAAGGACAGACACGGTCCCACCTGCTCACCCTCAGCATCCCAAGGAATGCTCTAGACTATTAGAGACTTTAAGTCAGGCCTAACCCGGGTTGGTCGTTTTGACAATGAAGACAGACTAGCCAGGGAAGTGAGGCATGGTTGGAGACTTTGGTGAAGCTGTTTTCGTACAAGAGTTGGTGAAAGAGGCACTCAGAAAAAAAGATGCATCCAAGTGTGGGTATGTAACTTCCCGAGGGAGAGTAGGGAAAGTAATTAATTGTCATAATATTACCCATATATAACATTTCGGGGGCTCTCAAGTTACATCTCGCAGGGTTGCTAAGAGACTTTTCTCTTCTCTCTTTTGTTAAGAGGGATAACTGAAGCAGCTCCAGAATGCCATGAGTGGCACATAAAGGTGAAACCAGGAGCGGTAGGTTGGCACAGGCTTAGTGGTGCCCTTACTGTTGGTAGCTTCCTAGGGAGTTTCCTAGAAAGTCTCAGGCTAGTGACTGAGAAAGAAGCAGGGTTTTGCATAGTTGGTAATCACTCTGAAACTCTTGCTTCTTTGCTGGAAGAGGCCTCAGCTGGATCCCAGGGTGAGGGAGCTCCTTTTCCTTCTTGGGTTCCCATATTTTCTCCTGCTTTCCATCCTGCTTCAGCCAGAGTCCCCTCACCCAGTGGCTTTCAAGTTCACATCGTCTTGTGTTAACATAATGAGGAATAAAGACTTGGGGGAAAGGAGTGAGGGAAATTGTTGTGGGAGCTGCGGGGCTGCATTCTGCCACCCAGCTCCCATGACCAGCTAGCTTTACCCGAAATAATAACACACAAACTGTATTCTTTTAAACACTGCTTGGCCCATTAACTCTAGCCCTTACAGGCTAATTCTCATATCCCGATCAACCCATCTCTAATAATCTGTGTAGCATCAGTCTTACCAGGAAAGATTCAGCATGTCTGACCTGGCAGCTTGCTCCATGGCATCTGCCCGGGAGAGGGGAGCATGGCCTCTGAGCTCACTTCCTCTTCCTCCCAGCATTCTGTTCTGTTTACTCCTCCCACCTATGTTTTAACCTATGAGGGCCAGCCAAGCAGTTTCTTTATTTTTTAACCAATGACCTTCCTCCATCAGGAAATGAAAGTAAATTATCAAAGAAAGTGAGATTATTATTTGTTTTTGTCATCTTCTAATTTGTTTTTGATATACCTTATTGTATTGTATTTTCTTATTATTCCTTAGGTGCCTGTTTGTTTTCTAACTAGACACAAAAAGGGGATGGATCTGGATGGGAGGGGAGGTGTGGAGGAACCGGGAGGAATGGATGGAGAAGAAACAGTAATCAGAATATATTGAGTGAAAAAAAATTTCAATAAAAGGGAAAAAAAGTGAGAATAACTCCCAAGTGGCCTTCCCAAGGGAGGGATACAAACACACTTCCACCTTGGTTAGTGGCATTTTATTGGATTTATGTCAGTAACTGAATAGACCGAGGTCATCTTTATTGGATTAGTCATCCTTTTTTATGGTGTTGGTGTGTGTGCGTGTGTGTGTTGGTGTGTATGTATTCACATGGGTTCATGCACCACAGTAGATGTGTGAGGTCAGCAGAAGTTAGTTTCCTCCATCCATCATGTAGCTCCTGAGATAGAGTCAGGTCATCTGTCAGCTGGTGGCAGGAGCCTTTGCTTGCTAAGCCATTTCAGCTGCCCAGGACTGGTGATTCTTTGAAGACAACATGGACAAAATTGGTGACCCGTCTAATAGGAGAGGCAATCACATACTGTTCATCCAATCAGGGTCACCTTTCTACCTCTCTCTCTTCTCTGGCCCCTGACCCCCCCTCTCTCTTAATGGCCTAGCTCACGATTCACTGTGAGCCCTCATCCTCACTTCCTCCGGGGAGCTCTGTCCTGTCTTACTTACTACAATGAGATTGGTTTATTTTTCTCACACAGTGGCTTCTGGTTCCATCCATGTTGTCACAAATGATAGTGTATCATCCTTTTATGGCTGCTTAATGTACATCATATGCAATATTTGTGTAGAGATCACACTTCTCTATCCACTCCTCCACCGATGGAGACCGAGGTCTCTGTGTCTTGGGACTAATGCTGCAACACGTGAGGACGCAGCGGTCTCCTTGACAGACTGATTTCCTGTCCTCTGTGCAGTAGCAGACTGCTGGGCCACGTCTGTAGGTCCACCATACAGTGTCCTACAATCACGATGCTAATTCACAGCCCACTGACAGCAGTCAGCCCTTGCCCACATTTGCTGTCCCCTTGTGGTTCTGGCTTACACAAACCTGATAATGTGACATTACGCATTTTCTCATAGAGGTCTTGACTGTCCAAACTCTGTCTGCTTAAGCTTACTGCCATTTTGTCAGATTATTTTCAATGCTATTGAATTGAGTTCTTTAGCTATTCTAGCTATGAACCCTCACCCGATGTACAGTTCACAAATACCTTCTCCCATTCTGTGGCTTTGTCTCTGCACAATGTTAGGTTGTTTCTTCTGCTGTGCGGAAGTCTTTCAGCTTCACATGATCTCATTTGTTTCCTGCTCCACGAGTCTTATCCTACTTTCAACAAGTTTGAGATTGAGTTTTGTCACTCTGACTAATCGAGAGCAAATCTTTGTTTGCAGAGGTTCCGTCCTCCCCCAGAGTTTCTAGTGGATAGATCAGAGCAAAGAGTAGGTCAAAAGCTGGGGCTTCCTTGTATTTCCCGAGACTGAGTGTAATATAGCAAGAACAGTTATTGTTCAGGAATTGCTTTGCCATGAACCTACGACGTTTATGAACCCAGTGCTGCCGAGGAGAAACGATGCCAATGTCAGACACCAAAACAAAGAGAAAAGATGGATTGTCACATATAATAGCCTATATGTCATGTGTATGGATATATCAGAACAAGCTATTTTCCCTGGTGATAAGGAAAATGGTTTTTTTTTCTGATTAAAATGGTAATAAAGGGAGATGAAAGCAAGAGGGTCACATGACAACGTGGCTCCAAAGAAGAGGTAGTGGGAGTAGAGCATGCTGGGATACTGTGAAGTCACAACTGCGTGGCTCTTCTCAGTCTAACCGCCTGCTAGGAACTACTGTTCGTTTTTGTGTGGGCCCTTCCAGTCTCTCTTCTTGACTATGTGGTCAGTGTCCTTTAAATGCTCTGTCAGTCCTGTGTCAAATACTTGTCCTGACTGTTCTTTATATTAATATGTCATGAACAGTTTCTCACGGCAGTGACTGTATTATTTTCCCCCGATGCACTGCATTCCATTATGTGTAATAAACCTGCCCAGCCTCCTCATTGTTTCTGTGGTTTCTAAAACAGTATGTATTTATTTTTATGTATATGCGTGTTTGCCTGAGTGTATGTATATGTGTGTTTGCCTGAGTGTATGTATTTGTGTGTTTGTCTGAGTGTATGTATATGTGTGTTTGCCTGAGTGTATGTATATGTGTGTTTGCCTGAGTGTATGTATATGTGTGTTTGCCTGAGTGTATGTTTATGTGGTTTGCCTGAGTGTATGTATGGTTCACCATGTGCATGCAGGAGCCCATTGAAGTCAGAAGAAGTAAGCATTAACTAGATCCCCTGGAACTGGACAGTTGTGAGCTGTCCTGTGGATGCTGGGAACCAAACCCAGGTCCTCCGAAAGAGCAGTAAGCACATCTGAGCATCTCTTCAGCCCCGTGTCAGTGTTTCGGTTGTAAGCAAACAGAAGTGGCCCAGTCTGAGTACTAAGGGAAGCGTGGCCTCACGTTCTCTTTCTTCCTCCAGGGTTTGGACTCCCCTCTCGCATCAGACCTCTCTCACCATAATCCTCTGAGTGTCGTCTCAGGACCTGGGCTACCCTCATGGCACAATGGCCAGCCCTCAGGAGCACCTGAGCTGCTCCTACTCATCACACTTACCCTTGACCGAGAACAAAACCTCTAGTGAGCACAATGAACTTGCAGCTATGGGAAACCACCCTTCACCCAAGCTCTCCGAGGACCCCCAGGAGAAGGCTATGCAGCCCGAGCTGCTGGAGATCACGGGCAGCCCGGTCTCTACAACAGTGCTGACCAGTGTAAGTGAGGATTCCCGGGGCCAGTTTGAGAACAGTGTCCTTCAGCTAAGGGAGCAGGATGAATCGGAGATGACAGTGTCCCCAGGGAACAGCAGCACGGTGGATGGAGAGAGCACTAACGGGACTGAAGACATCAAGATTCAGTTCAGCCGGTCAGGCAGTGGAGGCGGCGGGTTTCTCGAAGGACTGTTTGGATGCCTCAGGCCCGTGTGGAACATCATCGGGAAGGCGTATTCCACCGACTACAAACTGCAGCAGCAAGGTAAGCTAGAGCTTCTTGGCCCACACTTCCTCCACCGCTCCCAGAACTGGGTAACGCTTAAGGAGTGCACCCACAGTGAAGTCAGGTGACCACCCTGTTTAAGTGTCCTACAGGCTTTCCAAACAGAATCAAGTCATACACACCTTTTACTAGAAGCCAAATAGACTTTGTCGTCAACCAGCCTAATGGTATATAGAGTAGAGTACACACATGAGGTTGTAGAAAGAAGCCTCAGAGCTCCCATTTAATTTATCTCATTTGCGGTTTCTATTTCACAGTCTTTGAAGATATCTAGTATTTTAATAAAGCTGTATAGATACATAACATGAATAACTGATGCCGTGAGGATGTTTAGGTTTTTTACTGATAATTTATAGGATCAAAAAGTCTGATGGCCAAAGTCAGGTGCAGTAGCATGTACTTATAATCCAACTATTCAGAGGCTGAGGCAGGAGGATTACTTGAACTCAGTTAGACCAATTCTAAGCAGCATAATGAGACTGCCACCTATAAAACAACAACAACAAATACGAATCTAGACAAGTCTGATGGCCACTAGACTAACTCACACTGGCACCACGCTATCCCTTGAGACTGTAGGACTGCCCTAGATTGTAATAAAAAGGAATTCTTGTCTTGGAGTAAGGGCACAGCAGCCTCACACTTTGAGAACAGAGACTAACCAATTCTGAGAAGCTTATAATCTCTCATTTAAAAATACTGAGTCTTAAATTCTCATCATTGTGCAGCATATGTTCCTACTCTCGAGTTGAGGTAAAGAAGTATAGATGCCCTGATGTTGTGAATAGATTACTGTCTCAAAGAGAATGACTCACACACCACGAAAATGTAAAATAGTCTGTCATCCTTATCTTAGGAATAATAATCATTAATAGTTTAAGACTGTATCAGGCTGGACACGGTGATGCATGTTTAATCCTTGTATTTACAAGATCAATGAATGAAAATCATAAGTTCAACACTAGCCTGGTCTACAATAGTGAGTTCTAGATCAGCTTGACTACATAATGAGACACTGTCTCAAAAACAATAGAAATAAATGTCTCTGCCTCACAGCTTGAGGTCCACAGTGGGTGCAGAATCCACCCTGTGGGACCAGGTCCTGGGCAGCTGGTACCCACTCCTCCCTCTGCTGTTCCACTGTAGCTGCTTCTACGGGTGTGTCTGTGTGATAGCAGTTGGTGGCTCATGCCAATAATTCCAGCTTCTTGGGAGCCTGAGGCAGGAAGATCTCAATTCAGTCTTCCTGGTCTATGATAGTGATTTCAAGGTTAGCATAAGCAACTTACTAAGAGCCTATCTGGGAAAACATAGGGACCTGGGAATTCAGCTTACTGCTAGAGCCCTCCACTGGCATGCTCAAGGTCGTGGAGACCTCCAGCCCTTAAAGAAAAAGGCATATGCTTACTTCATATTGTGAAGGTTTTTCCATTTCCGAAATGTAACTCTTCAGCATCTTTTGTTTTCTGATTTGAGACAGCAGTGGGAACTGAACCCAGTGCCCTGCATATGCACTGAGAAATACCCCAGACCCCTTCAGCAAGTATAATTTTTAATGGCTGTGTAATATGTAATTGTTAAATGTGCTGATGTTTTTTAAGCAATCCCTTTGGCTTGAAGCTTCGTTGTACTTTTAGTGATTATAAACTCTATTACAGCGATTGTGGTCTGTTACCTTATTTTTTACTTTATGACATTTTTATTTGTTTGTTTTGTATACGTGTATGGTGTATGTCCCTAGGGGATGGAACATGTGGAGGTCATGTTATCGGGGAGGGGTGTGTACATGCCCTGCTAAGGCTCAAATCAAAAGCTCCACATGCAACAGACTGTGCTCTACCTGAGCTACACCCCAGCACTTTGTTCATTTATTCATTTGTAACTTTTTGTTTTGTTTTTTTTTTTTTTGGATCAAGGTCTAGCTTTGCAGCCCTGGCTGTCCTTGGACTCGTTATGGAGCCCAGGCTGGCCTCTAACTCTCAGCAGCCCTTCTGCCTCAGCCTCCAGAGTGCTGGATTAATGGATACGTATCTCCATGCCTAGCCTTAATTTGTTTTAGAAGCACTTTCTTCTCTGCCTCTCAGAGAACCAACTAAAATCCAATTCCATAATAAGACACAGCTGGTTCTCAGAGCCTCTGCTTGTCCAGGCTCAGACTAAGTTGTCTCCTAACTTGGAGATGGATATAGAAGTGCATCACTGAACTTCAGACTCCTAGACAAATTCTTACCCATGCCTGCCTAAAAAAGCCCTTTAAGTGTTTGACTTTCATTGTTCTACAAGTTTGCATTTAACTTATCTTCCAGTTGATCATGTGGCTTTCAGAAAGGCTCACCTTGGAAGTAATTAAGATCGAGGTGCAGTCTTTCAGGATTATAGTATATCCTGCTGAGGCCTCATGCTCAGTAAGGGGTAAACACTGAGAAGTGTTTGCACAGCCAACTTGTTGGGACAATGTATTCAGAGAGGATTCATTGATCATCTGTCCACACAAGACATTCAGAGGAACGAAAAGGCACCTGCAGTGGGGAAGGATGGAGTGTGCAGACAGAAGAAGATGACTGGATAGGAGGCTTAACCTGGGGAGAAGAGGGTGCGGGAGAGTCCGGGTTTCTAGAGGAGTCTCTGAGAGCTCATACCGAGTTGAATTGAAGCAGTTAAAATGCGTATTTATGAACATAGAAGTACCAAAGCTCAAAGGAAGGTCACATCTTTGGATGGGAATTAGAGGAGAGGGTCACTCCAAACGAGGTAAAGTTGGAACTTTCAGAGTGGCCCATCAAATGGCCTCACAAGTTCTGAGCTCGCTTCTCGCCCACACGCCTAGATACTTGGGAAGTGCCGTTTGAGGAGATCTCAGAGCTGCAGTGGCTGGGTAGCGGAGCCCAGGGAGCTGTCTTCCTGGGAAAATTCCGGGCAGAGGAGGTGGCCATCAAGAAAGTAAGAGAACAAAATGAGACGGACATCAAGCACCTGAGGAAGCTGAAGCACCCCAACATCATCGCCTTCAAGTAGGTCAACAGCCGCTTTGTCGGGCTGTCTGCGCGTGTGTTCGTTGTCGGCTGGCATTGTCAGGCGGGGGCTGGTTTTAGAGTGCTTTTGTTTTGATTTTTAGAGAAATAGAGCTGTTTTCTTCCTCCATTGTATACACGTAAGTTCCTGCTTCGGAAGATATTTCAAAGGCCCTTGATGTGCTTAGCGCAGCACTAGGGACTTTGGTAGAGTGCTAAAGTTCCATCAAACCCAAGTTGTGCCCTCCAGGAGCTCACCTTGCAGGGGAATGGACTGTTGATACTGTATGCACAGGGGCCAGGGAGGGATTAAGGGAAGTCCTGTCACACACTCTACATCAGCCTCATAGAATGGCACACTGGAGTAATCTCTCCCTCTGCATAGCTAACAGTAGTGAGCCGTGACACTCACGGTAATCCAAAACAACACCCTGAAATTCAGTTAAGGCAATTCTGGCATCAAAAGTGGTATAGCCGGTCCCTGTATAATATATATTTATGAGTTCCTTCTTAAATAGTAATGTATGAAGACGTACACCTCTGTACTGTAGCCTCGGGCTTTGCTTCATCCCTTTCCTGTGCAAACATGACTTTCTAAATCCAATCATAGAGTACACGCATTACACAGAGCAGTTGTGTTAAGTATGTGTGTGAAACCAGGGTTTCTTAAACCCCTCTGTTTATAGCTCTTTTTTGTCCAGATAAGCCAAGCATTTACTAATATCGAATCATAGAAAAATTCATTTATAACAGTTCTCCAGTGTACGTAAGGTTTCACCATTTATTAAACTCTAAGGAACCTCCGTGCCAGTCAGACGGATGTGCTGGCCTGGTCTACGTAAAGAGTTACAGCGTGGCTGGATAGTGCTGTGGTATACGTATCTCCAGCATTTTCAGATTTACCTGATACTTCATAGCTGTCCGTGCAGAGAACACCACTGACACAAATCCATAGTACAAAATGACAGAAGTGTGTACAGGGCTGTCCCCAAAATCACTGGAGATCTTTCCATAATCCCAAGATAAAACTAATTTAATCCACTGTGCATTTGATTTTTGGATTATTTTTACTCATCGGACATTCAGAAACCTGTTAACATTGCCAGATGACTTCTGACCCCTACATTTAGGTATGTATCCCCACATGGGGTTACAGTCCACAGTTTAAGAAGGGTCCTAATTGAAGAGCCAGTCAAAGTTAAACTTGTGGGAATCACTGGAGCTGGAAGGCGACTGTGCTCACCACTGTACCACGGAAGTGCCGAGCTCAGCTGTGCTCACTGCTGCTTAAGCCACTCCCTTAACTGTCTCTATGCCATCCATCCCTTCAGCCTGGACAAGGGAAAGGACCTGACTTTTAAAAGGGGAGAATGAAGAACAGGAATTGTGGCTCAAGTGGAACAAAAGATGGGAAGTGACTTTTGGCCTGTTTGACTGTATTTTAGATTCCTGGGAGATAGTTTGGTATAACTAAAGAGGCTTCAGTAAACGCGGAGGACTTAGAACTCCTTCCTCAACCTAGGAGCAACTTCCCCAGCCGCCCTGAAGGCTCTTCCTCTGGGAAACTACTATCCTGAGGAAAGATGCCATGTGACCAATCAGTCTTAACTGGACTCATATCCCCAAAGAAAGCAACAGTTAATCCTTGGGTAGTTTTGTGAGATGTGGTTTTGGTTCCTTCATGGGAACCCTTACGGCAGGGAAAGGTGGGAAGAGGTGGCACCAGCTGGAGTGCAGAGGACAGCCACTGTCATAATTCTGTCGTCTGTTGCCCTGACGAAAATGACCACTGTGGCTGACTATAATTTTTCCAGAGCCAATAAGTTACAAGTTAATGGGAGTATAATTCTGGCAGACAGACAAATGGAGACCACCTTGTCTCTTCCATTTCCTTCACTGAAACACTTGTGCCTTCCACATGCAATCTCAGGCAAAGAGAAGGTAGCTATTAGAAGCGGTTCTAAAGCGGTTATTTCCGGTTGCTAGGAGCCTGGTCACAGCAGAGGGCTTCTAGTTTGTCACAGTGAAAAGAACAGTTCACAAGATCTCTGTTAGACCATAGGACAGCTCTGTTTTCATGTTGAGATACAGATGTGTATATTAGCCTGTTTTCATGTCGAGATACAGATGTGTGTATGTGTATATTAGCCTGTTTTCATGTCGAGATACAGATGTGTGTATGTGTATATTAGCCTGTTTTCATGTCGAGATACAGATGTGTGTGTGTGTCCATTAGCCTTCATGTCCTTACTATGTTTTCTTCAAAGGGGAGTTTGCACCCAGGCCCCGTGCTACTGCATCATCATGGAGTACTGTGCCCACGGACAGCTTTACGAAGTCTTGCGAGCTGGCAGAAAGATCACACCTCGGTTGCTCGTGGATTGGTCCACAGGAATTGCTAGTGGGATGAATTATCTGCATCTCCATAAAATCATACACCGTGACCTCAAGTCACCAAAGTGAGTTCTAGAGCCCACTGTTGGCTGTTCTGTTACTTGGAAATGAGTTCTTATCAAACAAGGCCGAGGCTCTCAGACTTGTAACTTGATTTTAGTCACACAGTGGGTAGCTTCTCATCACCTGTCTATATGGGGATTATGGCCAGGTACAGAACTCAAGCCTCCCTTGTGTGGCTTTTGGATTGTGCAACTGTGCAGCAAACTTCATTACTATCTGAAGCAGCCAACTTTCATCACCTTAAAAAATTAATGCCAGGCTCCCCCCGTTTGAAAGCTTGGTTTGTTCTTTTCCTCGGTTTAAAACAAAATTAACTGCCCTTCAGAAGTGTTTAAAACACAGCAGAATGAAAATGGCCGAATGAGACACGGAGGCAGGTTAGAAATACAGCTCAGCAGTTGAGGGCTTGTTCCTGGGCCCCAGGGCGGGGCGGGAGGGGGCGAGGCACAGTTATCTGGGATGTGGTGCATATCTGCAGCCCAGCTCTCTGAGGCAGAGGCCAGAGAGTCAGGAGGCTAAAGCCAGTCTTCTCTACAGAGCTGGGCTACGCCAGCCACCATCTCAAAAGGAAAATCAGCAGCGACAGAAATACAGTCCCATCCCGCGTTCACGGTTTGCAACAGCTCTGCCCTTCATCACGTCTTCTTGGATTCTGGCAAACACCATGAGCTAGATGTAGTAGTATCGGTTTTCTTGTTGTACATAAGGGAAACTGGTACTCAGCCCAGACTCCTGGGTCTTAGACTCAGACTTGATGGGTTTTAGGCAAACTTTAAGAAGATAGCAATAAGTCTGGCTGACTGTGTCAGGAGATTTCTCTACCTACTTAAATCTATAGTCAGTATGACCCCCACCTTCGTCCCAGAAAAGTTCCATTGTGTATGTGTGTTGATTCTGTGTGTACAAGTGTGTGTACGAGTATGCCAACCTGTTTGTGTTTGTGTGGAGGCCAGAGGTTGGCACTGGGTGTCTTTTTCTATTGCTCTTCACCTTATGTATTGGGACAGGGTCCCTTACTGAGCCTTGAAGCCTACCAATTCAGCTAGACTAGCTGGCCAGCAAGCCCTGGGATGTGCCTGCCCCACCCCTGCGTGTCACTGAGCCTGGCTTTTGTAGATGCTAGATCTGCACTTGCGCATGAAGCACTTACCCAGAGCATTGCCCCGGCCCCAGTTACAATATTCTGTTATCTTTCATCTCTACCTGTGTCCACTCCCTCATGTCAGGTCAGCCGCTGAGAAGAGGCTCCTCCAGCGTCTCTGTCTAGTGACCATCATGTGTTCTAACCGTGGTATCTGACACCATCGCTTTTCTGCCTCAGCTATCCCATAATATTCTAATCGTCATACATTTTCACCAAGACTAAAGTCAGGAAGTCCTAAATGATGTTAGTTTTATATTCCAGGTAGATGTGATGAAGGTATCCCAAAGTAATCCAAGCACCAAGTTGCTCAGTACACAGAGAGCCATTTGGTAGCTGGATTGTGTGGGTAAGGTAACAGAACGGAGGGGATGGAGATCAAAATTTCCCGTCTTCTTCCTCCCTAAGTCAGATACATTTTGAGTGTTATGACTCTTAATGGTTGGGGTATTTTTGGAGGGGGTGATGGGTAGATTTGTTTGTTTTTGGTCAGTGTTTCACATTGTAGCCCTGGATAGCCTGAATGTAGACCAGGCTGGCCTAAAACTCAGAGAACCGCCTGCCGCTGCTTTTGGAGAACTAGAGTGTGTGTGATCACAAGATTGTGTTGTTGAAATAGGTCTCTATATTGTTTAGGGCCCAGCACCCTAACTCATTAACTCTAGTACGTTGAATGAGTTTCTTCAAGTGGAGCCAGTATAGTGGAGGAATATTAATATTCTGATTTTACACACCACTAGGACTAGCCAAACAGTTTGTTCCAGGGTACATTGTGAGTGGTTCTTGTGAAAAGCAAAAAAAGAAAAAAAGAAAGAAAGAAAGAAGGAAGGAAGGAAGGAAGAAGAAGAAGAAGAAAGAAAGAAAAAAGGAAGAAAGAGAGAAAGAAAGAAAGAAAGAAAGAAAGAAAGAAAGAAAGAAAGAAAGAAAGAAAGAAAGAAAGAAAAAGCATGTCTTGTATGGAACCTGCTTGAACTTTGCTGATCAGAGCTCATCCTTGGCCTGGAGAGGACTCGACTTTCCCCTGAGCCTTGGAATGTGATGCCTACCTGATGTCATGGTCCCACACCTGCTATTTATAGAGAGACAGTGGGCCTGGAGGAGAGGGCGACTGGCAGAAGTCACGGTTAGCAAGTAGTGAGGGCTGAGCTGCCTGACAGGTGCAGATAATGCTGTCTCTAGGGTGAGGGCCGAGAGCAGTGGAGGTTGTCAGCTGAACTCTGCAGTGTAGAAGATGAAGCATCAGTCACTGCCTGACTCAGGTCTCCTACTCAGAGAACTCTTAACTCAGCACTAATGACCGGGTTCTTGTCTTTATTTCTTTTCAAAGTGTTTTAGTGACTCACACAGATGCAGTCAAAATTTCAGATTTTGGTACATCCAAGGAGCTCAGTGACAAAAGCACCAAGATGTCCTTCGCGGGGACAGTCGCGTGGATGGCGCCTGAGGTGATCCGGAATGAGCCCGTCTCTGAGAAGGTTGACATATGGTGAGTGGTGCCCAGCCATCTTAAGGGCCCTGCCCACTCTCGCCTGGCTTCTGCCCTCCATTGTCTTCCCTGCCCTTCCATTCTGGTTGATTCTGGTTTCAGATTCTCTAAGCTGTGCCCCAGTGTGATATATGTCAGGAAGAATTAGGAGAGGAATTGGGGTGAAGATCCAGTAAGCAGTCAGTTCTGAGGCATCTCCACTGATTATGCTAAACTCTCTGGAAACTGGAAGTTTACTTTGAATAAGGGTGACTTTATGAAATACATTGCATAAGCCTCGCTTTTTTTAGTAAAATATATTAAAAATTTACTTGTTCTTGATGATATAGTTCCCAGCATACAGCCATGATGGCCTGAAACCTGCTGTATACCCAGACTGTCCTTGAACTCATGATCCTCCAGCTCAGCCTCTGAGTGCTGAGATTACGAGCATACACCATCTACCGGGTCATTAGTTACGTAAGAGCTAAGGTCCGAGCCCGTCCCCCTGAGCTGCCTCTGTATCCATCCCGCTGTAGGTCCTTTGGAGTGGTGCTCTGGGAGCTGCTGACAGGGGAGATCCCCTACAAAGATGTGGACTCGTCAGCCATCATTTGGGGTGTTGGGAGCAACAGCCTGCACCTCCCAGTTCCCTCCACTTGCCCAGATGGATTCAAAATCCTTATGAGACAGACATGGTAAGAAGTGGGTTTCTTCTGTTATCCTCTCTGTTAAAACTCCCCGAGAGAGCAGAGGCATCTCTGCAGGGTAGAAGGAACCACGTCTTGGTGGAGCAACAGGGGCTGTGGAATTTTAGGGCTGGATTTACCCATGAAATCAGGGCCGTGTCTCCCTGTAAAGTAGAGCCAGCCTGTACTCATGGAGTTGTGTGTGACTGACGAAACCTAACAGCCGAGAGTTCGGATTACTTCGCTGTTCCTGGCAGATTGCAGACCTAACTTTCCATGTCTTCAGTAGATACTTATCCTGGCCACAGTTTCCCTTTGCACGACAGTACATCTTAACTGCCTGAGACGTAGCAGTTCTTGTGATAGAATGTGTGTTTTCTAAAGCAGAGTGCAGCCTCGGCACCCCCAGACACACCCTCTGAGACGCACATGCTCTCTTTCTCTTAGGCAGAGTAAGCCTCGCAACCGGCCGTCCTTTCGGCAGACGCTCATGCATCTGGATATTGCGTCGGCAGATGTGCTCGCTACCCCGCAGGAGACTTACTTCAAGTCTCAGGTAAGCCAGCGCTCTCCTGCCTCATGACTGGGCAGTCAGCCAAGGAGCACTCTAGCTGTGCAGCCATTAAATGACCCTATTTGTTGTGAGACAGTAATTGTGATGGCTGGCGAACGTGACTGTGAACATTGGCAACGCTGTTTAAGGAGGAGAAAGAGGACATGAAAACTGCCTTGCCCTGCATTCGGATCAGCACCTCTGCTGCTCCTCCTGAAAGCTTTGCTCACTTTGAAGCATAAGAGCTGAAGACAAGAAGCAGGAACTTAAGGACCAGACAGAGCCACAGCAGAATTAGGCCCTAGTGGTCCCCAATTAAAAAAGTAGTTTAACGTGTCTGTTAGCCTTCATTGTTCTAAAATTTTCCACAACTTTCACTATGAAACAAAGTCAGCATTTATTTAGCTCACCATTCCATAGACAGTTTGAACTAGGCAATTCTTTCAAGGCTTCGAGTTCACCTAGAGGCCTGGAAGCAAATCCCAGGTTAGCAGGAAGGTAGCTCCAGGCAGCCTCCTTACCAGATGTGCTGAGCATCTGGCTAGGAGCTAGAGTTCCTCTGTCCTCCAGGTGGCCTCCTTAGCAGTGTGCTGAGCATCTGGCTAGGGGCTAGAGTTCCTCTGTCCTCCAGGTGGCCTCCTTAGCAGGTGTGCTGAGCATCTGGGTAGCAGCTGGAGTTCCTCTGTCCTCCAGGTGGCCTCCTTAGCAGTGTGCTGAGCATCTGGCTAGGGGCTAGAGTTCCTCTGTCCTCCATGTGGCCGCTAATTCTTTCACAAGCTTGCTCAGGCTTCCTCGAATTCTGTTTGTTTTCATGGTGACAAGTAGATCAAGAGAGCACGGCCCAGTACAGGTGATTGTCATGCTGCTTTGCATAATGCCTGTCACAGTGCCGCACTGGCTGCAGCAAGTCACAGGCCACCAGATTAGGCCACCACTCTTCCTAACCAGAGCATCTGCCAGAGCGGGTTATAAGGGATGGAGCCAGAGAAGGGAAAGGCTGTGGCTCTTGGGTGGAATGCTGTAGGTGTCAGAAGGATGTGGCTCCAACCACTGTTACTGTAGGTGGGGAGTGACTGGAGACGAGGACACGTTCCCTTTCCCTACAGACCCAGGCGAGATCACAAAATAGTAACCCAGCTTTCTAAAGAAATGTGATTGTAGCCGGGCAGTGGTGGCGAACACTTTTAATCCCAGCACTCGGGAGACAGAGGCAGGCAGATCTCTGTGAGTTCGAGACCAGCCTGCTGTACAGAGTGAGTTCCAGGACCAGTTCCAAAGCTACAGAGAAACCCTGTCTCAAACAAACAAACAAAAAAGTGATTGTCCTAAATTAGACCTCTGTGTGTACAAAATTATTTTCATCATGATGTTGGCAATACTCAGGATTGAACCTGGGCTTTCTTAAATGCTAGGCAATCACTCTACCACTGAGCTCCGCCTCAGACTTTTGTTGATTGTGTTTTTTTTAAATATTATTTATTTATTATGTATACAATATTCTGTCTGTGTGCATGTCTGCAGGCTAGAAGGGGCACCAGACCTCATTACAGATTGTTGTGAGCCACCATGTGGTTGCTGAGAATTGAACTCAGAACCTTTGGAAGAGCAGGCAATGCTCTTAACCACTGAGCCATCTCTCCAGCTGTGTTTTGTTTCTTATATATACAAGTCTTGCTAAGTTGCTCAGGCGGGCCTTGAACTCATTCCATAGCACAGAGAGACTGTGAATGTGGGATTCCTCCCGTCTTAGCATCCTGAGTAGCTAGGATTGCAGGCCTACACCACATGCCCAGCTTAGAATCGAACCGTTAATACCACATTAGCATATGTGAAACTTCACATTAGACATATGGCTTTTCTCATTTTTATTATTGTTATTAAGTTTCTAAAATGACTTTTATGAAGTAAACTCCATCTCTGCAGTGACTTCCAATATCATTTCAAAGATTTATTCTTAGGAGAGACATTTTATTACACACATTTATTACCTAAAATAGACTAAATTAAATGCACAAAATTTATGCTAACCTACAGGGAAAATTGATGTCTACACAATATTATTTTGCAGATAAAAATCAGGGAAAATGTAATTTTCTTCTCCAAGTGAGAAGCTCCCTCAGCCCTCAGATTGCAGTCTAGATACTTCTAGGGGAGCCTGAGACGTCTTCAAGGCGATCACAAGAAGGAAACTGTTTTCATGATAACATTAAGTTGTTACTGTTTTCAATCTTATTTTCTCAGGAGTATATGCAGACTGTTCTAGAAACTATATGATGTGAGATATAACTCTGATGGCAAACAGAATGTTTCCTAACATCCTCATGTGTATAACTCACAGTTTTTATGTCTAGCCTAATATCAGTAGGTATCACCCACATAAACAAATGTCATGTGGAATCTTCAATAATTTATAAGACAATAACGAGGTTCTAACACTAAAAATTTGAAAGACCCTGTCCCCAGTGGGCACAGATCTTACAGGAAAACATCTGATGAAAAGAGAATTGGGCCTGAGGAAGACGCAGAGAGTACAAGCAGGAAAGGAAGAAATCAGAGTATCGCCTTGAAGACAGCATGATCCTATCCTGAAAGGACTCCACCAAAAATCTCTCAGACCTAACACACATTCTCAGCCAATTCCAGGATAGGAAATCCACAGACAGAAGTCAGCCGCCTTTCCAGTCATAAGAGATAAACTGCTGAAGAGAAACCAGAGAAAAACATCTCCTTGACAATGAAGAAAGCCCGAACCGAAGGCTGAAAGACATGGCAGTGGAGGCGCAGAAGGAAGGAGCTGAAGACTACAGACTGTGGAGAAGATCTCCTGCGCTCAAAGATTGGCAAAACCATTAACATTAAAGTGTGCTGACTAGTTTGTGTCGGCTTCATATGAAATGAGAGAACATCAGTTAAGAAGATGTCTCCATATGATCCAGCTATAGGACACTTTTTTAATTAGTGAGTGATGGGGGAGGGACCAGCCCATTGTGGGTGGCCCTGGGTTCTATAAGAAAACAGGCTGAGTAAGCCATAGGGGGCAAGCCTGTAAGCCACTCCCCTCCATGGCCTCTGCATCAGTTTCTGCATCCAGGTTCCTGCCCTGTTTGAGTTCCTGTCTTGACTTCCTTCAGCAATGGACTACAGTGTAGAAGTGTAAGCCAAATAAACCCTTTCCTCCCCAGTTGCTTTTGGCCATGGTATTTTATTAAGCAATCTAGCAGAATCTAAGGCAGCTAGATTCCTGAAAGTGATCCACATATTCAAGACATTCCCCATCAATGCAATACCAATTGCATTGTCTACAAAACTAGAAAAAAACAATCCTAAAAATCATAAGGAAGCACAGAAACCAGAAAGTCCGATGTGATCCTGAGCCTGGAGAGTAATGCTGGAAGTTCCCACTTCCTGGTCTGGACCTGGCAGAGCCCTCAAACAAAACCAGCACGGTCTGCATCACCGCAGCCAAGGGAACCACGAAGAGAACAGACAGCACAGTCACCCATGCTCAGCAAAGGCCAGAAACATCCACTCAACAAAGACGACCTCTTCAAGAAACCATGCTGGGAGCTTTGTCATAGCCAGAACCTGGAAACAACCTAAATGCCCCTCGACCGAAGAATGGATAAGGAAAATGTGGTACATTTACACAATGGAGTACTACACAGAAGAAAAAAAACAATGACATCTTGAATTTTGCAGGCAAATGGATGGAGCTAGAAAACATTATTTTGAGTGAGATAACCCAGACACAGAAAGACAATTATCACATGTACTCACTCATAAGTGGTTTTTAAACATAAAGCAAAGAAAGCGAGCCTACAAACCACATTCCCAGAAAACTTAGACAACAATGAGGACCCTAAGAGAGACTTACATAGATCTAATCTACATGGGAAGTAGAAAGTAGAAAAGCACAAGATCTCCTGAGTAAATTGGGAGCATGGGGACCTTGGGGGAGGGCTGAAGGGGGGAGGGGAGAGGCAGGGAGGGGAGCAAAGAGAAATGTAGAGCTCAATAAAAATCAATAATTTAAAAAAAAACGAAACCATGCTGGGGAGGCTAGGAACAATAAAACTGCATCTCTTTCTCTTACACACACCCTGCACAGAAAAGGATCAAAAGCCTAATGTTAAACCTAAACCTTGAGAAAACTAGAGAAAAACATAAGTCATCTACAGGTTCATTGTAATTATGAGCAAAATTCTAGTGAGATTTTTCTCAGGGCTAGGGGAAACATGCTCAAATTCATATGAATTATAAAGGAACATGTGTAGCAAAGCAATCCTAAGCAGAAAGAATCCTAAGCACTTCGGTACCCGACCTCAGATCACACCACAGACCATAGTGCCTGCTGGCACTGGCACAGATGCAGACATGTAGACCTGTGAACTAGGGTCAGAAATAAACCACAGCTTCATCTTTGACAAATTCATACACACACTGGAGTGAGGGGAAATCTAGTCAACAGACGGTGCCGGCAAAGCCGATTCCATCTGTAGAAAAATGGAGTTGGATCCACATCTCTAATCCTGCACAAAAATCAACTCAAGATGCATTAAAGACCTTAATTTAAAAGCTGAAGTGTGGAAACTGAAGAGAGGCTCAGCAGCTAAGAGTGCTTGCTGCTCCTCCAGAGGACCTGAGTTCACATCCCAGCATCTGTATCAAGTGGCTACAGCACAGCCGCCTGTAACTCCAGCTCTAGGGATTCTAGTGTCCTCTTCTGGCTGCTGTCATGGGCCTCTGCCACCTGTGCACATATTCACACACACACACACACACACACATTTTTGGTGAAAGGAGAGTAGCAGCAAGTGCTCCGAGGAAATCTTCCAACTGTAGTCTATGGTTGCAAATAGCTTTGCCCCCTTACTGGCAAAGTATCTAGTATCACAACTTTGAAAATCAAATTATAGTGGAAGCACTAAGTCAAGAGCTACTGAGACAGTCAATTTAACATTTTATATAAATATATTTATATATATATATATATGTGGAAAATGTCATAATCTGAGATTTTACTTCAAGAGCCTAGGCAAATGGCTCAGCAGTTAAGAGCACTGGCTGCTCCTCCAGAGGATCTGAGTTTAGTTTCCAGCACCTACATGGCACCCTCATACAGACATACATGTAGACAAAACATCAGTACACATAAAATAAAACTAATTTTTAAAAAGGATTTTACTTCATGCTCTCACACAAGTGTTAACTCTTCTGAAAACCTCCCATGTGCAAAGCCCTGCCCAGAGCAGCTAAGTTCCTTCTGTCACTACCCCAGTGGGCCAGCTCACTTCGATTACCGGGTCAAGAGTCAAAACGAAGTAACTGCTGGTCTCACCAAAGGTTCTTCTGGGGCTAGGAGAGGAGAGAATAGGTCAGGGAGAAGAGTATGTCGGGCATCTGCTTTAAGGTGCGCTGCCAGGGTAAATTACTACCCATGGAAGCTTGGTCAGCAGAACAGGTTATTCCCCAGTTCTGAGGCCAGGAAGTCCATGACAAGTCCAAACCCAGCAGATCCAGGACATACGAAGAACATGAGTCCTGCTTCATGGGTGACACTCTGTGTTCCCAGCCTGCCTCCCAAGGATACTCACACCGAAACAGATACCCTCCTGACCTAGCGCCTCCCCAAAGCTCCACCCCATCCCTTTGCCCTGGGACTCTCGGGGTGTGAGATCCGAGTTCAGAGCACAGCAGTGTCTGTTCTGTTCCTCCACAGTCTCCTCCCAACACACAATGTCATTTCTCCCTCAGTAACTCCTAGTCTGCTTGTTGCAGTAATTCTTGCTTCTTGCAATAAATTTTCAACTGCTTATAAATTGATGTTTCCAGGTCTGAAATTGAGACCATCTCTGGCTAAGGCTGATGGAGTATTGGTGAGCTGGCTAGAGAAGTGGTAGGAAGCCTGTGGGCCTTGACTCTAAGCCCTGCCCTGACCCCTACTTAAGGCGTCCCCGTAAAGGTCTAGGGAAGAATAGGAACACGGGTGCCCTGTGCACTGTTTGCTTGCAATCTGCTATTGTTTGCATGTTAGGAAGCTAAAAACTCTCAGCCTGAACTGGATTGTTATGTCTCCATGCTTCCTCTGATAAGCTCTCAAGATTAATAAGATGGAGGTTGGTTGTATTTTGTCACTGTTCTGCTCCGCGGGGCAATAACTAGGTGTCTCACACACACGTGGTTTTGCTCTTACTGTGGCAGTCTTCTATCCGTGACCTTGCTTCCTCTCACCTGCTGACACGCTGCCCTCAGCATCCACTGTCCAACATTGTTGGCTTCTAGTCGCAACTGTCAGAGTGCTGATGCAGAGAGCATGGTAGCTGGAATACTAATCTCTTTCCAAAATCTTGATCTCGGTTCTTCTGGATGGATGCTGAGAAATGGGATTGCCGTCACCAGGGACATTAGAGACACCCGTCAGTGCTGATGTGGGGAGATTGGAGCCTGTCCCCACTGTTGGTGGGAGGGCAAGGGATAAGCACTGCAAAAGGCAGCATGTGCCTTCTCCAGAATGAAAAGTTGAACTGCATGGCTCACGGTCCAGAGGTCTGTCTAGCATGTGTCTCAGGGCAAAGGAGCCGTCCCAGGAGAATGCGCAGTGTTAGAAACACCCAGTTCTACTTACAGTAGAGTGCAGCTTCATGGCCACTCTCCTTCCCTCAGATTCTTTATCCCCAACTTCTGCGGCTGCAGGGTTTTCCTGTTACTAACCTGAATGTGACATTCAGCCCCTTCCTTGATTTTTTAAGTGATTTGAAGAAAAAAACAAAACAAAATAAACACCTCAGCGCATCAAAAGCCAAGTGGATGTTGGTAGATCCCTGAGTATTTGTGAAGTGAAAGCAGCCTTGGCCAGCCTGAATCATGTGTTAGACCCTCGCTTCTTGCCTCAATGATCTTCTCAGACTCCTCCATTGTTTGCCCCTCTTCTCCCTCCTCCTTTCCTTCCTCCTCCCCTTCAGTCCATATTCCTGAGCGGTGTACTGCTCTGCAGAGCACTTTCTCTGGGGTATTCTGCTCCATCCGTCCCTCTTTCTTCAGCAAAGCCTAGGTGGTATATTGGTTTCGTGGGAGCCTAGGCAGTTTCGTGGATGCTCACCTTACTAGACCTGGATGGAGGTGGGTGGTCCTTGGACTTCCCACAGGGCAGGGAACCCTGATTGCTCTTTGGGCTGACGAGGGAGGGGGACTTGATTGGGGGAGGGGGAGGGAAAGGGGAGGCAGCGGTGGGGAAGAGACATAAATCTTTAATAAATAAATAAATAAATAAAAAGCCTAGGTGGTAGCAGCTGTGAAGAGCCTCAGAGCTCACAGCCCCGTGAGCTGCAGGCAGCAGGGCTTTCTTTCTGCCTCCCTACTGCATACGCTACCTCCCAGAAGTGATTGCCTGCTGTACCCTGTGCTGTTTCTGCTGCGGAAAAACTGCAAAAGAGACAGCACTGTGTTCAGGACAGAGTGTGAGCTTGTACTTACAGGGTGTGTTCAGGACAGAGTGTGGGGCTTGCACTTACAGAGTGTGTTCAGGACAGAGTGTGGGGCTTACAGAGTGGAGGCTGTTTCGTCCTTGATGAGCTAGCGCATCTTGAACATTTACCCTCAACAAGCTCCAGTAGAAAGTTTGGGAAAAGCGTGGAGAGGCACAGGAGGAAATGTCTGTGACATGCTATCATGGATGCATCGGGGATGGAGACTACAGTATTTACAGAGTTCAACTTTGCTCCCTCAGGCTGAATGGAGAGAAGAAGTCAAGAAGCATTTTGAGAAAATCAAAAGTGAAGGGGCCTGTATCCACCGGCTAGACGAGGAGCTGATCCGCCGGCGCAGGGAAGAGCTCAGGTCAGCCCCCACTCCCTTCTCACCGAGTCCTACTTCAGTCTCCCTGTCCTCGGGGAACCTGAAAAGACTGCTCTCAAAGCGGCAGGAGCACAAGGTGCTTCCTAAGGCTGGGAGGGCGCGCGGAGCCGGTGAGGAGCTGGCTAATGGATGCTGTTATAAGTAGACAGAAAGAAGTTCTCCAATTCTGTGCATTCTGGGGTGGCGGCAGGTGACAATCTCGCTCACCTGCTTGCTTGAGTCAAGGTCTCACTCTGTGGTCCTTGCTGGATTATAGATCAAGCTGGCCTAGAAATCACGGAGACCTGCCTTCCTCGGCCTCCTGGGTATGGGGATTGTAGGCCTGCACCACCACCCTAACTTAAGTATTTTTCAATTAAAGAAGCTAGAAGAAAGGATTTGAAATGTTTCCAACATAAAGAATGGTCATTGTTGGGGGAGAGTATCATAATTCCCCTGAATTTTTTCATTAATTCTATATTAAATTATATGTCTGTGTGTGAGCACGAGTGCAGATGCTACAGAAGCCAGGGGCTGAGATGCCCTGGAGCTGGAGTTGCAGGTGGCTGTGAGCCACCTGATATGGATGCCAGGAATTGAACTTGGTTCCTCCGGAAGAGCAGTGCATACACTTAACTGCTGAACCATCTCTCCTGTCCTGGTTACCCTGCTTTGAACACTATATGACAAATATATGTATCAAAATGTCACTGGGTACCACATAAATACGTACAACTTTTCCATCAATTAAAAAGAATCTCTGTGAGAGACAGTTCAGTGAGTAAAGATCTTGCCACAGCAGTTTGAGGACCTGAGTTTGAATTCCCAGAGCCACAGAAGTCAGGGTATGGCAGCTATGATCCAGGAGCTCCTGGGGCAGGATGGGAGGCAATGCCAGGATGCTCCCCATGACCTGTGGGCCAGCCAGCCTACACTGTACGGTGCAGAAGTCAACAGCGGCCTCCAGCACGGTTACCTGAGGGACAACACTGAAGGGTGATCTCGGACCTCCACACGCACACCATGGCATGTGCTCACCCACGCACACAGCCACCTTCAACTTGTACACGCCCATGCACACAGCCACTTTCAACATGTGCACACACACACAGCCACCTTCAACATGTGCACACCCACACACACACATCCACCTTCAACATGTGCACACCCATGCACACAGATACCTTCAACATGTGCACACCCACGCACACACAGCCACCTTCAACATGTGTATACTCATGCACACACTTCTTCACTATTTTTTACCTGCTCCTCTCACCTGTTTCCTCCTTTATGGTCCTCTGAGCACAGACCCTTAAAGCACTTCCATGGTTCTCGGCGCCATTGGAGCCAGGAATTTACAGGCTCCGGTTCTGGCCTAAACATAATAAGCACAGTATTCGGCAGTTAGGCCCCTGGAACAAAATGCCTTAGACTTAGCAGTTTATGAACAGAAGAAACGTGCTGCCCATGGTTCTGGGGGCGGAGCACCAGGGAATTCAGGAGCTGGTGAAGACCCATCCATCATATCATGGCACCCGCGTGTGTCCTCACACGGTGGAGAAACAAAAGGCTTCCTCTGGGTCTGGAGAGATGGCTCAGCAGTTAAGAGCACCGGCTGCTCTTCCAGAGATCCTGAGTTCAATTCCCAGCACCCACATGGTGGCTCATGACCATCTACAACAGGATCTGATGCTCTCTTCTGACACGCAGGTGTACATGTGGAGTACTCATACATAAAATTAAATAAAGTTTGAAAAAAAATTTAAAAAAAAAAGGGCTTCCTCTGCTACCCCCTGCGGCTACCTCCAGGACCATCACCTTATGGGTGAAGGTTTACATTTGAATCTGGGCGAAACACTGCAACCCCACCAGCCCAGATAAGACCTGTGCCATGGATAGGCACGTGATCATGGATTATGAGGACCTGAGTTTGAATTAAAAGCAATTGACTAATTAACTTTAAGTTATGCCCATTAATATGCGAATCTACTGTATTGTGCTAAGACCATGCCGTGTGCACAAATGAAGACTCTAAAGAGCATACAGACGGTATTGTTACTTTGTCTGTGGCCCGTGTGGCTGGAGGGGCCCTTAGGATCAAACACACAGCCCAGATTTCCTATCCCCACTCCTTGTCTGAATCCTTGTGTTTAGAACCCCTGGCTTTGAAGTAAGCCACGGTGCGTGCTTCATCAGAGCTGACTTCCGTTCTCCTCAGCCTTGCTCATCCTGTGTTTTCACTGACAGACATGCGCTGGATATTCGAGAGCACTATGAGCGAAAGCTCGAGCGGGCCAACAATCTGTACATGGAGCTGAGCGCCATCATGCTGCAGCTGGAGATGCGGGAGAAGGAGCTCCTGAAGTACGTATCCCACCGGTCCCAGCCGGTCCCAGCCCTCGCTGCTCTGAGTCCGGTCTGCAGGACATGCTGCTCTGCACGGTGCTGCTGTGGTGACCATGTGGATATTTTAGTTGTTCCACCAGCATTCCTTAGGGACTTTCTGTCCTCAGTCCCTACCAGGGTGAGGCACACAAGTTAGCAGAGCTGCTGCAGGTCTGAGATGGGATCACATACTGGACTAGCATGTGTGCGTCACTCTGCCACACGGTTCAGCATGTGTGTGTCTCTCTGCCACACGGTTCAGCTGTGTGTGTCTCTGCCACACGGTTCAGCTGTGTGTCTCTCTGCCACACGGTTCATCTGTGTGTGTCTCTCTGCCACACGGTTCAGCCTGTGTGTGTCACTGCTTCATGGTTCCTCTTCTGTAGATAGGGAATTAGGAGGGTGTCTTCTGGTTCCATAGTCACCACCTTAGATTATCTCTGTCCTGACTTTCTGTCTACCAAAACTCAAGAGTGGCTTTGTCCTTCATCCCACAGGCGAGAGCAGGCAGTGGAAAAGAAGTATCCTGGGACCTACAAGCGGCACCCTGTCCGTCCAATAATCCACCCAAATGCCATGGAGAAGCTCATGAAAAGGAAGGGTGTGCCACACAAGGCTGGAGTGCAGACTAAGCGGTGAGACAACTGTATCTGTGTATCTGATGTTTAGATAAACGGGGAGGTAGGGGACTGGAAAAGGGCAGTCTCAGATGTCTAGATGTGGCCTTTTTGGGGCTTTCTAGCGCTCATGGCTGCAGGTAAAGCCAAGTAGGAAGATGAGAGAGCATGGCACAGACCCCAGAAGTCTCATTTTGACCACCTGAGGCCCTCTGTCTTAGTACTAAACACAGGACAAGGACTGTACAACAGGAACAATCAGATCTGGTTGAAACTGCAGCCCTGCTTTATAGGTGTGTGATTTGAGCCATGTCACTTGGCTTCTTTCAACTCTAGTATCCTCATGGGTAAATGGTATCGTTATGGGATTTCTTTCTATTTCTCTCTTTTTCTTCTTTTTTTGTTGTTATTTGTTTTTTGTGGGTTTTTTTTTTTTGAGACAGGATTTCTCTGTGTAGCTTTAGAGCCTGTCCTGGAACTCTCTCTATAAACCAGGCTGGCCTCGAACTCACAGAGATTCACCTGCCTCTGCCTCCTGAATTCTGGGATTAAAGGCGCCTCCAATGCCTGGCTTGAGATTTCTTTTTATTCTTATAACTCTTAGAAACAGAACTGAGCTAATTATAATTCTTGATTTTTGACACAGTGATCAATATATTTACTTAGTTCTTAATAATATATATATGTTACAACCAATAATAAACAGGGCATTGATATTATGCATACCGAGCCAAGAGGTTCCCTGTACTCTACCTTTACATGAAACTTTTATGACTTTTGTTTTTTTTTTGGTTTTGATGGTTTGTTTGTTGGACAGTTGCTCAGACTGGCCTCAAACTCAGTGTCCTCCTGCCTCAGTCTCTTAAGTAACCAGAGTAACAAACAAGCATGTGCCCTCGCACCCCACTGCGAAGGCTGATGAGTGTGAAATCACCTATCAGGCATTGGATCCCAAAAGCACGTTTTTTAGGACACCGTTCTTTCCCAGTTATTTTAATGTTTTGATTTTTCAAGACAGGGTTTCGGCCTTCTCAGTGCTGGGACTAAAGGTGTGCGCCACCATGCCCAGCTTCTTTCCCTTTTCGTAGCACTTGCTTTATGTTGATTTAATCTCAGTAATAGAGAGTGGAGCTACATCTCTGTGTAGAGTGTGTTTAGCTGCAGGGGGCCCCAAGTTAAATGCCTAGCACCTTCAAAACATCTCAGGGTACTTCTTCACTCCTTTCTGGAATCACCAAATGCTGTGGAGCCTTATCATTCTCACTCGCCAGAGAACTGGCTCCCTCCCAGCCAGGCTACTATAGAGGTGAGAATGTCCTGGCTTGTGAGATTCAAGCCAAATGCCGTAAGAAAATAGGACGGAGAAACACAAGCCAAGAATGTAATTTATCGTTTAAATTTTTATTAACTTAGAGTAGCAGGTTTTTATGGCATCTTCATGCACACTTAGCTTTGGTTGACCCTCCGTGTCTTCTCTACCTCCCGTCTCCATGCTCCCCATCCCTGCTTGAGCCCTTCTCCCCTAGTGTTCTCCCTCCACACCCACATTAGATGGACTCTGTAGCCCTCCCACTGGCCCCTTTCTGGTCTCCTGACCACACAGGCTCACTCACATAAGTACACGTATCCACAGTTGGAGCTGGGATCCACATATGACAGACAACATGGGGAGTTTGTCTTTCTGAGCCGGGGCTACCTCACTTAATATAACATTTTTCAGATCCATCCATTTCCCTGGATTTTTCATAATTTCATTTATCTTTGCAGCTGAATAAAATTCCATTGTGCATATGAACCTCATTTCCACCACCCTCTCTTCTGTTGACATATATGTAGTCTGCTTTCATTTCCTATATGTTGTGAGTCAAGCCGCAATAAACGCGTGTGCATGTCTCTCTGGAGCAGGGCACGCAGTCCTTCGGGTGCATTCACAGGAGGGGTGAAACTAGGTCAGACGGTGATTCTAGTTTTAGCTTTTGGAGGAGCCTCTTGATCTCCACAGTGTGGACATCAGTATGTGTAAAAGTGCACGCCTCCCCCCAAGCGTGTCTACATTCCTTCCTCCATATCTGCGCCAGTATTTGTTGTCATTTGTTTTCTGGGTGACAGTCACTAACTGAGGTGAGAAGGAATTTCAGGGTAGTTTTAGTTTGCATTTCCTTGGTGGTTAAGGGTGTGAGCCACTGTTTTATTCAGTGTGTGTGTGTGTGTGTGTGTGTGTGTGTGTGTGTGTGCACGCGCATAGGTGAGCACATGTACAGGTGCACATGTATGTATGGTGTGTGTGTATGTGTGTGCACGCACATAGGTGAGCACATGCGAACAGGTGCACATGTATGTATGTACATATGGAAAGAGATCATTCTTGTCTGTTGTTCCTCAGATGACATCCACATTGTTCTTTTGAGACAGGGTCTCACACGGCCTAGAGTTCACTAAGGAGGCTAGGCTGTCTGATCAGTGGATCCCAGGAATCTACCTATCTCTGCCTCCCCCTCCCCAGACTCAGCCTTATCCCCAAGCTGGGATTACAAGACCATGCCACTACATCTGGCTTCTTTTTAAACATGGGTGCTGGGGATCAAACTTATTTCCTCAAGCTTATGTGACAACTCCGATGGAGGTAATTCTTCAGTTAAAAGTCCCTCTTGGGACGATGTGTCAAACTGACAACCACAATCCACCATCACACATTTTGGTAGGCTCTCCCGGCCTGTTTTCCATAGGCTTCAGGAAGGGCACAGAAGCCCATCTAAAAGAGAAGCCCGAGGTGGGAAAGAGTTGTGCCCTGGAGTAAAAGCTATCGGGGTCAAAGAATCCGTTCCTCTTTGTGATGACAATCCAAGCCCTGTGATGATGAACGCAGCTATGAAGTGGCTGGTAACAGTGAGAGCATATTACATATTGTGACTGACGTGGTAGAGCAAGGTCACTCTGGGGACACTTCTCCTCAAGTCTCCTTTGGGTGCCACCACAGCTTGTCACCAGCCCTGCAGGACTCCCTTGTTGCAGTAGAAGCCCTCGAACCCCTTCCATGCAGGTCCTCCCCACACCGCTCAGGCTGACCAGCAGGAGCGTCTGCTGCAGTGCTCTGGGACTTGCACAGTGGTGTCTCAGATGTTGCGACTGAGTTGGGAGGGGCTAGGGCAGCGTGCAGAGGGGCCTGCTGTTTGCCCTCTTCCAAGCCACCACATCTGAGCGCCTCGTGATTAGCTGAGAGAGGGCTTCTGTTGTTTCAGAAAGGAATGTGTGGACCTTGCAGCTCTAAAACCTCCTGCTGGTTTGTGTCCTATCTGGTCCTAAAGAGGAGTGCTGCTGTCTGGCGAGAAGGGAGAGGTCCCGAGTCCATCCATCAGCTCAGAAACCACCTGTTTCATGTGGGCTGAGGTTTCCTCCTGCGTGTAACCTTCACAACTGGTCCCGGAGGCACAGGAACAAGGAGGCCTCCTCCCGTTAGGATGGGAGTAGAATGTTAGGTTGGGGGTAGCCCAGTTGGTCAAGTGTTCCCATAACATGCACAAAGCCCCGGAGTCAGTTCCAAGTGTAGTATGAACAGGCACAGTGATGTGTGTCTTCAATTGCATCACTGAGGAGAAGACACAGGAGCTCAAGGTGATCCTTAACAAAGTTCAAGGCCAGCTTGGGCTAGGGAGCCTGTTTCGTAGAGGGAGTAAACAGTAGAGATCCACTGTGCTTCTCACTAACCCTTTTTTGCTGCCTTTGCCTAACCCCCTGGGCTTTCTCCCTCCCAGACCCCTCCTTCCTGTCTGCCTTTAGGATTTATTGAGTGCCTGCTGTATACAAGGATGGCTCATTCCAGTAGACCCTGTCTAGACCAAACTCCTTAAACTGTTTAGTTCTTGCCAATGAACCTGGGGTTTGTCCAATGGTACCAGACCTCTCTCCTCTGTGATGGATCATTGGACAGATGTCTGAAGTGAGCAAACCCCCATGCCCATTCCTTGCTGCCCATACCTGTGAGGGTACCAGGCTGACAGCCAAGATCCCAAGGAAGATATTAAGGATCTTGTAGGAAAAAGCTAGTGACCCAGAATCCAGAGGAATAAAAGCCTTCAGTAAGACAGTTCAGCTGATAACAATACGCAAGCCTGATGACCTGAGTTCAATCCCCAGATCCCACGGTAGGAGAGAACCAGCTCCTCACAGTTATGCTCTGGCCTCCATACATGCAATGTGGAACATATATAAACATATGCACACACACACACACACACCATGTATGCCTCTCACAATAATAATTAAAATTTAAAAAGAAATCACTGTAACTAGACATTTAGGTTGTTTCCCAGATTTGCTATCTTAAACAGCGCTCGCTGTACTATTATAACATTAAGCAGCTCCCTGTGTGCATTAGGAAGCATCCCCGTGTCTGCGAATGCTGACTGAGGGCATGTGAAGCCAGGTGGGTGACTCACACTAGTAGTTCCAGGACTCAGGAGGCTGGAGCAGGAGGATTGCTATGAGGATGAGCCTAGCCCCAGCTACAGAGAAAGACCCGATCTCAAACAAACCTACACACAATAACAAAAGTGTGTAGGGCTAGGGCTGTGGCTGAGCAGGAGGGTGCTTGCCTAACAGGCACAAGACACCAGAGTCAACCCACAAAGTTACAAATTTATAATCCAAGAGTGTATTTTAAAGTTTGGCGCATTTTACTCCAAACATGTTTCAATGTGTTTGACACAAATCTGTTCTTCTTCTTAGGCCAGACCTGTTACGATCTGAAGGTATCCCCAGTGCAGAAGTAGTTCCCACCGCGTCCCCTCTGTCTGGAAGTCCCAAAATGTCCTCGTCAAGCAGCAAGAGCCGATACCGGAGCAAACCACGTCACCGCCGAGGGAATAGTAGAGGCAGCCACAGTGACTTTGCGGCAATCTTGAAAAGCCAGCCGGCCCAGGAAAATGCATCCCACCCCACCTACCTACATCACGCTCAGGCTCCGTGCCCTCCTCTCCACCAGCATAGCCCCCTCCAGCAGCAATACCAGCAACCCCCTTCTGACCTGCCTCAGAGCCACCACCCCAGACTCAATATGCATGGGCAGGACATTGCAACCTGTGCCAATAACCTGAGGTATTTCGGCCCAGCAGCAGCCCTGCGGAGTCCACTCAGCAACCATGCTCAAAGACAGATGCCGGGCTCCAGCCCGGACCTCATCTCCACAGCCATGGCGGCAGACTGCTGGAGAGTTCCTGAACTTGAGCAGGCTGGGCCCTGGGGCTGCTGTCAGACCGAAGCCTACGATCCCTGTCTCCAGTGCCGACCAGAGCATGCTGGGTCTTTAGATGTTCCCACCACTGAGCCAGTGGGAAGCGGCCCAGACTGTTCCAGTTCACCAGCACACAATCCTCTTTCGGGAAACGCCCAAGACTCTGAGAGAATGGAGGCCAATGGATTCAATGGCTGTCAATCTAATATTTCTCATCAGTTCACACCCCCAATACTACCTCAAAAGACACGGCCCCTTCAAAAGGTAAGGGATGACAAGAGTAGACTGTCCCTGCCATCAAATGCCATCACCCATGTGGTGCACATTATAAAACTGGGCATTAAAAGGCATGCCATTGGGAAAGGGTGGGACACCAAAAGTGGTGTTTCTTTTACTTCAAAGGCTCCTCCCTCAACAGTGCTCCAGTGGTGGGCCACGGAGTGGATTTGGGGGGTTACTGAATGGGGAGACTGGTATAACCATATACTAAAGATGTCACAATGTTTGCAAGCTATTGTCCTAGAACTCCAGTCTTGAGGGATGTCCCAAGGAAGTTTAGGAATGGAGATTCCTGGTGCATGATGGCAGACATGGTCTTAGAGAAGGCACATAGTGACTGCCAGCATTCTGTTTGGCTACACAGCCTTTTAAAACTGGTGCTTCTTAATCACCTGGGCACCAATGCTCTTTACAATGTAACATCAACAGCCATCTTGACTCAGATAGCTCTGAATCCCGAAACCTGTTTTCTCCTCCACTGGCTGCCTAGCAGTCCTCCATGATGTTGGAAATCAAAGCCTGAGAGTCACCAGTTCAAAGCCAGGGCCGTCCCCTCAGCACCTCTGTGAATCTGCCACTGTCTGTGCAGAGGGCCCAACAGTGGACTCTGCCAGGCTGGCCAACTTGAAGACTACTTGAATTAGTAAGTAGGAAGCATCTAGAATGGCACCTGGAATGCAGCCTGCTTTAAATGTTAGCTTGCTTCGCTAAGGACTCTACCGGGTTATTGTGAACACAGTAAACGTTTAATCCTAGATGTTACTTCAGCTCATCATAACTGTTGAGGGGAGGAGGGGTGTAAGAGGAGTAACGCTAGGTACTATCTGCTGTCTCAGAACTGTGTTCCTTCCTCTAGGTGTGCCACTGCTGGCTGAGCAGAGGTCCACGTGTGCTTTCACATGGCAACCTGGATTTGAGCTAATCCATTCTGCACCCTCCCCAGTCCCTGTAGCCAGTAACATAGAGTCCGCCATAGCCAGTAACGTGGAGTGCATTCATCTAAATGGACAGGATGGCTAGTTGCCTAGTTGGTTGGTTTGGTTTGGTTTGGTTTGGTTTGGTTGGTGTGTGGGACAGAGTCTTGCTGTGTAGCTCAAGCTGGTCTCAAACTCAGAATTCTCCTGTCTCAGCCTCTTACGTGCTAGGTTTATAGACATGCACTACCGTAGCCAGCATGGTTTGTTTGGTGGCAGATGCCTTTGCCCCCAGCCATCTCACCAGCCTGCCTTTTACCCACGGTTCTGTGGTCATCTCAGTGACCAGTTTTAAAGCATTTTCGTCAACCCCCAAAGGAACGCACACTTTTCTGATCCACTCCATGTCACATGTACCTTTGAACTGCCCTGCTGTCTTTCGGTGCCATCTCTAGCTCTGCAGACCCCAGAGCGTGCAGCACCCTCAGCCTCATTAGAACTGCACACCCTGTACGTAGCAGCTCAGCTTCCCTTTCCCCAGATGTGTTTCCACGGGAGTTCCTGATGTAACTGCTCATCTTGGCAATCAGGATTGCTAACTCCAGCCCCATTAGTGGTGGGTCTGTCTAAGCTCTCAGGAGACTGTGGTCCAGGGACTGTGGGTACATAGCTGATTTTCTGTACTTAGTGCCGATGGCATCCCCTCTGGGGAAGATTAGCTGCCCCCCGTTCACTTATGCAGCCTCTCACATCAGCCACAGACCCCAGCAACCATCTCAGCGGTTCCTGCCAACACGTAGACTCAGTGAAAATGCACGAAGAGCCTTTTTTAAGATTGAAACGCGATGACCAGTGTTCTTGTGGCATTGCTCCTTCAGTGGAGTGCTTGAGTCCAAACAGGTTATGTTTACATTTAACACTGACATTCAAACACCGTGCGTCTTCACATGGCTGTGGTATTAGTGGAAAATAAAGGAGGAAAGAACTTGCTGGGCTTGCAGAACTGGAAAGCCCCTTCCAGGTCGAGTTCCTATGAAAGGCCCCAGAACCACTCATGTCACAGGACAGTATCCGAAATCCAAGGCTTGTCAGCTTCCTCTCGGTCACCCCTCTCTCAGGGGCCTCCACCCCCTGAAGGCAAAGGGAAAGTTATGTGTCTTCCAGCACCTGGTAAAAGGCCTGTTGCCGTGGAAACGGGGTACATTGCTGCTGAATGGAGGGTTCATATGAATGTGGTGGTTTGGGCTGCTTTGCTTTGTTTCAGGGAGTTGTTTTGTTTGGGGGTTTGTTTGTATGTTTTTGAGATAGCATTTGACTAAATAGCCCAGGATGGCCCAGAACTCACTCTGTGCCTGGGCTGCCCTCAGTCCACCTACCTTGGCCTCGGGAGTGACAGGATTCCAGTAGTGTGCTACTCTACGAGGATGGGGACGGACATGTCTGAGGAGGCCATCAGCAGGCAATCACTAAACCCTTTAGAATGAAATTAAATCTGTTTGAGGTAATGAGAGATGGGGAGAAGGAAGATTCCACAGTCAATAAAGGTCTTTTCCCCTTGTCCTCCTCAGAGTGGAGATGACTCCTCGGAAGAAGAAGGGGAGGTGGACAGTGAAGTGGAGTTTCCTCGAAGACAGAGGTAAAGCCCCCACAAGCCTATGACCGTGTTCAGTGTCGTGGGGAAGCTCCCGAGTGCCCCCACAGGCTCAGCCAGAGGCCCATCTGCAGCCACTTTACAGAGAGTTTGAAGTAAACTGACTTCTTCCCACCATGTCTGATGGTTGCCCTGCACAGCAGGTCACAGGTCATCGGATTCACTTCCAGAGAAATTCACAGTGAGGAGCATGAACACAGATCCACAGTCACTCTCCAGAGCACAGGGTCCGGTTTGGGAGAGGGGAGGGGTGGCACGTGTTTGTGGTGACTCGTGGTTCCTAGTGGACCTCCTTTGCTAATCTCTACATGCTGTTGTAGCCAAATATCACAGACTAGGAAGTTTATGGAACAACACGTATTTTGTGGAAGTTGGGCAGTCCAAGATGGCAGTGACAATGATTCTGTTCCTAGTCACGGCTTTCTTCCTAGCTTGCAGACAGCCACCTTCTTCCGGTCCTCACATGTGAGAGATGGATAAATTAGAGAATGTGGTGGGGGCGCAGTTCAGCTCATGGCTTCTCTCTATTTCTGTAAACGTTGCCTTTTAGTCTTCCTCTGGGGTGGGAGATAACAGGACCCCGTCAAGGAGAGACAGCTAGCCACCCCTCCTCTGTTTAAGTCTGCCTGTTTTGCCCGCCTCCAGGCCCCACCGCTGTATTCGCAGCTGCCAGTCATACTCAACCTTTAGCTCCGAGAACTTCTCTGTGTCCGACGGAGAGGAAGGGAACACTAGCGACCACTCAAACAGCCCCGATGAGTCGGCTGACAGACGGGAGGACCGCCTGGCTGAGAAACTAGACGACCTGCTGTCCCAGACGCCCGAGGCGCCCATCGAGATCTCCTCCCACTCAGATGGGCTGTCTGACAAGGAGTGTGCCGTCCGGCGCGTGAAGACACAGATGTCCCTGGGCAAGCTGTGCGCCGAGGAGCGTGGCTATGAGGTGGGCACCTCTCCCTCCTCCTCATGCCACTGCGCCGTTCGTGGTTCTCTGGGGTTTAGAGTAGCATCCTAGTTTGCTTACTGTTGCCGTGATACAGAGTATGGCCAAAAAGAACCCGGGGAAGAAAGGGTTGATTTCAGATTACAGTTCACAGTCCATCACGGAGAGAAACTGAGGAGGCACCGAAGTAGAGCAGGGGCCTGGAGGCAGCCACCGTAGAAGACAGCTGCTGCTGCAGACTTGTTCCCGTGGCTGCCTCAGCTTGGTACAACCCAAGCCCACCTGCCCAGGGAGTGGTTCCACCCCCCCAGTGGGCTGGGTCCTCCCACATCAATTGTTAATCAAGAAAGCGACACCCAGACTTTCCTAAAGGCCAGTCAGATGAAAGCGTTTTCTCAAGTGAGGTTTCCTCTCCTCGGATGACCCCAGCTTGTGTCAAGAGTTAGTTGACAGAACAACTAAGTAATTTCAAGCCTCGGGGTCTTTATAATTTCCAATCAGTAGATAAAATATGCACCGCCTCCATGATGTAGACACAGGCGTATAGCTGCGGGGCTCTCTGAATAAGGACAGTGGCTCACAAGTGAGCCAGAGACATGAGATGTTTGAAAACACCCACCCCCTGCTCACCCCGTCTCCCAATCCTGTTAGGGGACTGGGCATCCCTCTCTCCGTGCCCTCACTCTCTTCTGGAGAGTGTGGTGTTTATAGGTGTAAACCCTAGACTCAGACTCCCTAGACAGATGCAAAGCCCAGCCATTCTACCTACCATGTAACCTTGGGCAAGTTGCTTAGCCTCAATGAAGGTAAGTGCCCTTAGCTATAAAAAGTGTGTGATATCTATCAAATCTATGAGAAATGGCCGGTTTCCGTAGGTGAGTAGATGGTTGTGAGTAGACTAGACTAGCAGATGTAAGTGGTACCCGAGGCCCTGGAATGCTATGGAAACGGGATGTGAGTCAGCATCGCCAACTTTACATAGCTCTTTTCTCCATCAGCTCCCCCCCCCCCCCGTCATCTGTCTTTGTCAGCTCCTATAACACGGGAAGTGTTAGGCTCACCTTCAGTGAGGGTGGCAGAGGGAGGTAAGGGCTGCCAGGGGAAAGCGTGCAGCATGCCCTCACTGAGGGTGGTAGGATAGAATTAAGATCTCTTGTCTAAACTCTGCAGAACCCTGTGCAGTTTGGAGATTCGGACTGTGACTCTTCAGAGGGGGAGTGTTCGGATGCCACTGTTAGGACCAGCAAGAACTACAGCTCTGCCACTTGGTGACAAGGGCTCTCCGTCAGAAGACGCTGGCATCGCGAATCCTCTCCAGCCCTAGACTCCTCCCACCTGCGTTCTTCCAGGAGGAGTGGCCCCGTCCCAGAAACAAGCCACACTGACAGGAACATGAGATCAGTCAAATCTCTGGGAAAATACCCAAATGAAGTTGCATCTCACTGAGCATTTCAATCAAGAATGGCAGGGATCTATCGTACTGAATACTCAAGCTACTGTAACATTGATATTTATTTTTGTTGGACATTTTAACACTTTGTATTGTAAAGAGTGAACTATATATGATAATAGATACAATAATTTCTTTACAAAAAAAAAAAAGGAAAGGAAAGGAAAGAGGGTCTTTAGGAGCAACATTGGAGTTTCTGGGGCTGGGAGGTGTCACTGTCGCTTGAACACGGGACCAGGTCAGGTCTTTTGTCCATACTTGAAGAGTTGCAATGAGACATACTGAACATTTACAATACAAGCCAAAAGATACGCAGCCATGTTAAGTTCAACGGCTCGTCCATGTGAGGGATGGAAATGACCTAGAAGCTGAGGGATCCGATAGCCCCAAAGCCTCGGAGCGCACGCGCTTCCTCTGAGAGGGAAAAGCAAACAGAACTGGAACCGCACATGTGGAAATGACTTCACTTCTTAAACACTAAGCTAAATCTGGCAGTAAAGGTTACAGTATCATCAAGTCTTGCCTTTAAATGCTGCCACTGTCACGACCTCCACCAGCGTGGTCTTTCAGACTCGGGTGCCATTTCTTCTTCCTTTCCTTCCACCTGTTGGCACTTCTTTCAGGAAGGGGAAAGGGTCTCGAGTGGGACAGGAGGACACTGAGTGGCATTAGGAAAACATACCTGTAAAACATACCATTCTTCTTCAGGATGGCCGCGTTCAGCGATACAAGCAAGATGGCGCAACCTTTCTCGGGACTCAGGTTGTCTATCTCCTGGAATCATATTGATTCACACAGATGGCAGCTAGGATGTGTGTGTCCAGTGTCCAGTCCCAAACCACCTTTATTTTTGTTCTCGATCTTACTCTAGCTTGGAAGCTTTGGTGGCTGTCTGTCAGCGTAGCATACAAGGCAAACTTAGCAGCTTGCAGGAAGGTGGCCTGTCTCACCACGTTTTGTTCAATGCTTCTTGTAAAATGCGGTCTGTTTTCATTCTGAACCACTGCAGTTTTGTTTAGGTAGGTTAGGAACCTTGTAGAAGGAGCAGCTGATGCTAAGCAGGAATTAGGATTACTTTAGTATCTCAAAAGCATGTGATTCTTCCTGTGTCCAGAGTCCTGCCTGGGCTATGAAAAGTACTCCAGGTAATTTGTGGAGTCTTGGCTTGCAGCAGGAGAGGTCTCGCAGCCTGCTGAGGGCTGGATTACAGGTGGGCCCCACCATGCCTGGCTTAAAGATGTCTTATCTAGAATTCGTATACATGTGCATTGACCCGATTCCTGTCTCCAATGCAGGCTTCTGCCAAATCTGAACTTGCTAGATTCTGACATTTCATCCAGTAAGGATGTTAGGTTTTAAGACATTCCAACCCCAATGGAAACGATGCTCCTGGCTGGGGGTCACTGACTGCAGCAGCCAAAACTGAAAAGCAGGAGGGGACTTAGAGCCGGCCTTCTGTCTGACCTCTCCTTTGTTTACACTTTATGTTGAGACACTGATTTTAAATTTTAGTGTCTATAATTTTTAGCTCATAGGAAGGATGAAGGGAAATGTTTAACTTGGAAAGCAGTATTGTTTTGTTAAATTATTCCATTTTGTATGAACTGTAGCAGGACTACACAGGAGAGCTTAAGTTATGACATTCTTACCCTTGTTGTTTTACTTTATGTTGTCATAATTTTCTGTTGACCAGAAGGTGTGGCTTATTGTGTAGCACAATGACTGTTTCTTGCTAACCATGGATTGTTATGGGCTTCTGTGGGCCTAGTGAGGGTCTGGGGATGGAGCTGTCTGTGGGATGCCTGGCATTCCTCAGTGTACTCCCTGGTGGTTTCCCTGGCTTCCTGGATGTAGCAGCTGCTCTGAGGGGTTGTGTTCTGCCCCCGACAAACATTGGGTACACTGTGATGATTTTGTTTTTAATTGATTGTAAAATCTCCTGAATGGGCAGATGACCAAGTTGATGAACAAATCGTTCAAAAGTCCCAAAAGTTATAAACTTTCCCCTCCAATGTCTTAGAAATAAAATCATGGCACTGAAGTAGAGGCAAAAAGAGATTCAATGCTCTTACAGCAAGACAAAGCATTTCTGCGGAGGCTCGTGAGGCAGTTTCAAGAGTGTAGAGCAAAGCGAGTCATCGCCTTCCCACTGAGCCCCACAAATTGGGAAGAGCAGAAAGACTAGAACAAAGGGAAGTACGTAATGCCAGTCACGATCTGCTTCTGGAATAGACAGGAGTTCTAGGAGGTGGAGGCATTTGGGGGTCACAGGGCTGGGGGATGACATCAGAGTCATTATTCTTTTATCCTCCAGCCTCAGGTCTCTTATTCCTTGGAACAGAGATTCTTATACCCAACACAAAGCAAAACCAGCTGTTTACACAAAGGCCAACTTCTGTCGGGCACCTTTCAGTGTTGGTCCTCCCCGGAAACGCACCTGCTACATCAGTCTTCATTCTGAATGCCCGTCCTCTCCTCTCTGTCCATCACGCTAAGGTCACTTTTATCTGGCTTAACTGTCATAGGCTTGCTAGGGGTGTGTGTGGACTCCAATCATTCATTGTGCCATCAAGATAAAAGTAAAACCCGTCCTTTTGAATAGAATTACTGTTCTAAGCAAGGTTAAAAGGGAAAATAGACTTCCCCTACCTTACCCCCAGAGCCTGCCCTGGAGCAGGAAACTGGAGTGTGTTTCCTTGAGAACCTTGTAGTCAGTAGAACTCTGAGTGGAGAGCTCAGGGAACATAAGAGCCAGCTCTTCAGTGCCCTTAGCTGCCGCCACGTGTTGGTGCTTTGAGAAGCCTTGCCAGGCCCATTTCAAACTTCGTCACTGGGTGCAACATGAACACCGTCATTCTTTGGCCATCTGGTTTGGACTGACTACCAAGGCGAGTTTCAGTTTTGCATCGCAGTCAAGCACTGGATTTCCTCTCTTCTTTTAGATCATGTCGCTGAATAAAAATCCCTCTTAAAAATGCTTAGCACAGGAACGGAGACGCCTGTGTCCACTTTGAAACATACCTCACCTGAGAGCTAGCTGCAGGACTCTGGGAGAGCCTGCGCAGGGCAATGACGTGGTGTTGTAAGGTGTCTTGAGTAGCCTGATTGAAGACCGAGTATTTTAAGCTGTTAGATCCACCAAAATTCATTCGGGAATTAAGGACATTTTGAGTAGGTGCTGTGTGGAACTTACTCGGGGCCCCACTGTCCCCAACCTACTCTAGGCGATGGGGGCGGTGACTTTGGAGTTCATGTCACTAACTCAGGGTTGTCAGTGTCCCCACAAGGGAGCACTGACGTCTTCTCAGTGGGAACGTGTTCCTATTGATTCGGTGGCTTACTGTTTTTTCTCATGCCCTTATGTCTCAAATGTTCCTTTTTTTTATTCCTTGAAAATGTGATAGATGTATACAATGAAATATGATCACATTCACCCCGTTCCCCCTCCATAGCCCACTCAAAACATCCTCCTCCCAACTTGATGGTTTTGTTTGGGGGTGGGGGTTAGGTTGTTGTTTTGGTAACTCTCCAAGTCTAGTAGTGCCGCCCATGAGTGCATGTATATGGGGACACCCACTGTAGGGCATGGGAAGCTAAAAAGGGCATGCAGAAAAAGGATGATCCTCCTTCCCCCAGTAGCTGTCAGCTGCCAGGAGCTCCTCAATAGGGTGGGGCCTGGAGATCGCCTGCCCACTCAAGTTCTCTTAAAAGAAGAAAATTTTTGCTGGGTCTGCTGGCATATACCTTTAATCCCAGCTCTGGGAGAGGCAGAGACAGGTAGAGTTTTATGATTTCAAAGCCAGCCTGATCTACATTCAAGTAGTCAGAGTGACTTAATGAGACCCTGTCTCAAAACACACACACACACACAAAACAACTGCCCTGCTTCACATATACCATGTTTATTTCTCCAGAAACCAAAACACTGCCCTGTGCCACCATGGACCACCTCCACTCTAAGCCCCATGGCAGCACCTTTTACTGAGCACAGTATTGCTCCCTGCTGAGCCTTGCTACAGCCTCAGAGCCACTCACAGCAGCATCTGAAGCATCCATCATCAGTACTTGTTGGAATTTATGTGCATAGTGTTTATTAACCCAGCTCCCAGCTCTGAGCTCACAACCGTTCCCTAAAGACCATTCTAGACCCTCAGTTCCTGATGGACAAGTCTAGGACCACGCCAGTAGTCTCCTTATGGGTTCCCTAGGCTGACAGGGGCATGTCATGACAACGGGCCGCCTGCCTTCATTCTTCCCCTTTGGACTGCACCAATCACATCTCTACCCACACTGAGCTGTACTGGATGAGCACACCCTTCCCTATCTGGGAACTGAAGTGTGCACTCTGTTACCTGCTTCCTCCCAAAATGCTGTGAAACTTTGTCAAGACTTCTCTTCAACTGTCAGTGTGGTCCAGCCTTCCCAGGCAGCAAGGTTTTTCTTTGCTGGTGCCATAGAACAAACGTCCCAATGTGCTTACCTCCCTCCAGACTGTCCCATTGGGTGTGTTTGTTTGCTTATCTGCATGGCTTACTTGGCACTGCAGATGCCCTTTCAAACAAGAATGGACTGAACGAGGCTGCTGAGTGGAAGACCCAGTGGAACCCAGAATGTTTCTCAGGGACAGGTAGCTGAGGAGGATAGCTCTCAGAAACAGGGAAAGAGCTGGGTGAGGCTTTGGTAAATGCCACATGCATGGCAAAGGCATGCCAGCAGGATTTCAGGTGCCACATCCTCAGCAGATGACAAGGCCACTGTCAGGAAACTTCCAGCACAATCACAGCCCTGCTCCCCAGGGTCCCTGCACAGCACTGGAGGTCACTAGTATCCGGCCAGTGACCACAGTCCTCCAATAGCTACAAGCTAGAAACCCAGCCACATGTGCAGGCTATTAGGAAAAGGTATCTTGACCACATCATCCAGGGTTCTTCACCTTTAGAACCCCACTTCACAGCGGATGAGGAAATCTTTTTTATTAATGTATGTATGTCTGCCCCCACCCATCCCTTTCTTTCTCTCTATGATTATTTATTACAATAATTTGAGCTTCTGTTGATTTAGGACAAATGAATTTCTTTCAAGTATTAAAGTCTCAAAATGAACTCCCTTGTCTCCTTGAAGCTCGCAGGTCTCCGGCTCCACGTCATTTTCAGATACTGGCTCTGGCTTTGTACCGAACAGCAATGGGAACAAGAATGATTATGAAAACAAACCAATGCATGAAATTAAACAAAAAGTCTACCTGGTGTGTTCTGGTCCTGTCTTTTCCTAAAGGTGCTGTTGGCGTCTTACAAGCTGCCCTGCCAGGTTTTCAGGGACAAGGCAAGCGGGGTTCTGCAGCCAGGATTCTTCCATTTCAGGGACAAGCACTAAAGTTGCAGTTTCCATTTTGTCTGAGTTTCCCCATAAAGGCTTTAGGCAGGCACTCTGGTTCTTCCTGAGCCATCTGCTGCCATTCCTGCAGCTGTCCTGTTACCAATGACATCACTCTTAAAGAAGCCAAGAGAGGCAAATGGGAAGCTGGCATGATTTGGTCAGAGGCCTGCTGGGAATAGGGAGCTAAACCAGTCTTTTGAATTATATTTTTTAGGCAATTCTGGTCCCTTTGGTAAAGGCAGTTTTGAGTCAGCAACATGCAGAGACAAGCTCTTAAGTTCTGTCTTCACGGCAGAATGTTTATGTCCATGGATTAGGGAAATCCCTTCCCCTGTGAGCTCAATCCTGACAAGGTGCACTTGTGCGAAACCCCGCTGGGGCCACACATGCAAAGGAGGAGAAAAGCCTGTCTTCTCTCCCTCTCTACTCCAAAATGCTCTGGAACCACTGGCTTCAAGTGTAGCCTCTTTCCTGTCATCCCCTCATTAGAAAGGCTTCTTTTACACATTTCTTTTTTAATGAAAGCCTTAAAAACGCCATGACATGGAAATCCACTCTCACTGTGGAACCCGAGTGCGCACATCAGGCCTCGACTGAAGCCTTGGAAAGACTCCTGGCTGAGCCCAGACTTGAGACAAACACACCAGCCCAGTCTGTGATGCCTGAGAGCAGCAGTGCTGGCAAGTCCTTGTCGTGAGTTGTCCCCATGAGGTCCAAGCCCACAGAGCTATCAGCTCAGGGCCACAGCTGGAAGACACAGTGACAGCTGTGAGTGATGACCAGATAGGCAAGCACTCATACCGCTCTTCCCTGTTTGTATTAAAAAGCACAAATTCCTCAGCTGTTCTTGCAAAGGCAAAACAAAACAAATCACAGTGTGTTTACTGGCTGACAGTCTCCTGTACTGACACCACTCTCCCAGCAGGAGGCAGTAGAAGGGATTCCCAGGTGGAAAATACACAACTAGCCATTTGATTCAGATGAAGCATGGCAGGGCCTTGGGATGAGGGATCATTTCCTCAGAACACATTCAGAACATGCAAAGCTGGCTCCATTCATATTTAATCATGTTTGAGTCAGCTTAACTCTGAAGACATACAACCACAAGGAGCTCAGACATAGAAACATCAGTGTGTGCATGGGGATATCACAGCAATCATTGCACGCGAGCTGTGTGTAAGTCTTAGGCAGTTCGCCATGGGTCCCTTGGCCTATGGAGAGGTAGATCATCAGCAAAAAGGTAGAGAAGACACTCTTCAGGAGACTAACGGGCTAGAGTCATCCACAGGGACTTAACAGGAGTACCTGTTACACAGCCTGTCCAAACGGCCACCAGCATCTTCTCCCAAGACATCTCAGGGACTGGCAAGAGGCAAGCCCAAAAGACTGAGTCCCTATTATTGGACAGAACCAAAATAAGATTTTCTAGAAAGCAGTCCATTTCACAGAACCATGCTAAATGTGAATGAACCCTCAAGCAGAGCGCCCTTCTGATAGGCCTCTGCACGCACTAGAACGCCGTTCACATCACCTTCCTGAGGGTGATTAAAACACAGTGAGGACAATAGAGGACCGTGCCCATCACACAGACCAGCAGCAGAGTCCAGGGCTGTGGTAAACATGGCACCTGTGTCACGCGTCCTTCCTGCCACCGAGGTGACGAGTGCTCCTTGGGTCACTCAGGGCCAGGTGCTTTCTGCTGAATTTCTTGATGAGGGTTCCAGGAACCAAAGCAACCAGGGCAATGGCCAGCAGCTTCAGGACAGTTTCCCAGGAGAAAAGAGCATCCAGAGAAGTGAGGGTGGACAGGATGGAGCCTGTCTGCACGCAGATGAAATTGTATGGAATCAAACCTGGAAAAAAGCAAAGTGGAGATGATCCATTAATGGGGCAAGATGGTGGGAACGGCACTAGATGCCAGCCAGGGATTCAGAACAGCGACTCAGTCTCCAACTCTTAACCCCCTATGTTCTACCTCCTTCCTTTTCTCCCCACGCTTCCTATACACATCCAACAAAAGGCCTTAAAATGGGCAACACAAATATATATGTGTGTGTGTATGTATGTGTGTATATACACATTTCCATAAGGAAAATTTATTACCCATACATAAAAAAATACTAAGTCAGGGAGTGAGCTGAGAGATGCTGGAGTCTGTGCCCCTGCTGAAGGTGGGACCCAAGAGCCGAACCAGAGAAAGTGACCAGCAACATGAAATTTTCAGTATGCATTAAAGACTTTCAAAACCCAACAAACAAAACAACTTTCTTCAAAGTACAACTTTGTTCTGCACTCTAAGAATTCAGCTGGCTTCTGGACTCCATAGTCTGCTTGGCAGCCGGGCAGCAGGCGGCAGAAAAATTCCTTAGAATCAGGCACGGTGGCACATAATTGCAGGAATTAGGAGGCGGAGGCAGGAGAATAGCAGCAAATTCAAGGCCAGCCTGGACTACGTGCTGAGACTTTGTCTCAAAACCAAAACCAACCACCAAGAACCCTGTGATGTGTGAGGAAAAAAAGGAAAACGCTAGGCCAGGCATAAGGGAGCACACCTGTGGCGCCAGCACTCAGGAGGGAGGCGGAGGGATCTCTGTGTGTTCTAAGACTTCCTGGTCTACAGAGCAAGTTGGGAGCCAGCCAGAGCTCCATGGCCGAGACCCTGTCTCAAAAGGAAATGGTAAGCCAAGTGTAGTGGATGCCTGCAGTCCCAGCGCTTGGAAAACCAACAGACAGACAGACAAACCTGAAAGTTTGAGGCCCGCCTTGGCTACATCACACAGCAACATCACAAACAAATAATAAGACAAAATGCATTCTTGGCTCCACCTCAGAGATGCTAGTTCTGCTCTGCATTAAAACCCAGGAGCCCGCATTTTAGAGGCCTTTTCCTCTCCCCTCCACTCCTGAGTTTCTGATTGGCTGGGGCCCTGATAACCCATTCCTCTACTTCAGGGAAGAAGTATATGAGAGATAATGATCAGACCGTTCAAGGTCGCACAGCCTGGCCCTCAAGAAGGAACTCTGTCTCCAGAGTCTTTCCAAGCTGGTGTCACTTGGGTGATGACAAGCTTTTAGCCCCCATTAGCTGAGACGCTGAGGTGCTCAGCGAGATGCTACAAGAGCTGGCTGCGGTCAGCCTCCTTCCGTCTCTCTCAGATAGTCCTATTAATAGCAGCTGCACATTTGTTAACTTGGACAGAAACCCCTGAATGTCATTCCCCACACTCTAAGAAAGGTCTGAGCATCTCTGCCCCTGGCTTAAGGAGGGTGGTGGCTTACCGTGAGAAGGTAACGCTCAAGATGGGTTGGGTGTGGTCACTTTAACTTAGCAGCAAAGGTGACCTGAAGCCCACACTTCAAGAAACACTGCTCCTAACCCAGCTCTGAGCCAGCTAAGTGATTTCCTGCATGGAAATACGGTCATACTATTCTCAGAAGACAGATAGAAGCCTCTCTGATGCCAGCCCTCCCTAAAAACCCCTTAGTCAAAGGGGGCCCTTTAACCTGCTAGCACTTCTCGGAGCCAAGTCATGTAGTTTACAGAGACGGTCCTGTTCAATCCCAGGGCCCAGCATGTACTGAGCATATAAGAAGCACTGAATTTGGCCACGGAATGAACAACCCTTAGTTGTTCCAAAAGCATTGTATGGGTTTCATGTTCAACCAGAAGAGGTTTGAATCAGAGAAGGCTGTGTCAGGGGCAGGCTTGGAGATGCTGCTGGTGGGCAAGCATATGGGCAGGTGGCAAGTGACAGAGGGCAGGGCCTCCACCAGCACCCCACCCCCACCTTACCGATGAGCACAGAGAAGAAAAACTGTACAATGGGGATGTTCAGGATCGGGGCCGACAGGTTCAAGAACCAGTTTGGTGTCATGGGGAAGAGTCTGAGGAACAGCAGGAAAAAGAACAGGCTGTTTCTGTTCTCCTCCACCTGCAGAGAGAGCCACAGTCAGGAGCAGAAGGGCTCTCCAGCTAACTCTGCAGCTGAATGGCTCCTTCCCAGCTCCTCCCACATCCCCATTCTGAAAACACAGCTACCAGCTGGACAGGAAATCCCAGCACACAGGAACTCAGGAGGCTGAAACAGGAGGATTCCCACAAGGTTGAAGCTAGCCTGAGTTACACATGAGACCTTGTAGCAATAAAAACAAAAACTGGGGGGCTAGAGAGATGGCCTTAGTGGTTAAGAGCACTGGCTGTTCTTACAAAAGACCAGGGTTCAATTCCCGGCACCCACATGGCAGCTCACAACTGTCTGTAACTCCAGTTCTGGCCATCAGCACACAGACAAACATACAGACAAAACCCCAAGGTACATAAAAAAATAAATAAATCTTTAAAAACTTAAAGTATTTTTTAAAATTAAAAAAAAAAGAACAAAAAAAAAACTGGGCTGGGGCGATAGCGCAGACAATCAACTGTGTACCCTGTCAGCATAAGGATCCACATTTGATCACCAGTACCCATGGCAGATAAAAATAAGCCTGGGGCTGTGGAACAAGCCTGGGATGCCAGTGCTGGAAGCAGAGACAGGAGGATTCACGAGGTTTGCTGCCCAACCAGTCTCGTCAAATCTGTGAGCTCCGGGCTCAGTGAAAGACTGTCACATGCACTCACACATACACAAGCACACGCACACACACCAACACACACACGCGCCCTAAGTTAACTAAATAGCTGAGAATCAGAGGGGTCAGACACTCAACTCAAAGCTAGAAAGCAAGTAAGGACAAGAATGGAACTGGAACTTGATCACAGGTCTCTGCTTCCGAAAGACATCAAATGAACCCTTCCCAGCTCCCAAATAGGGTGAAGGAACACTGTGGGAAACCCCTGCTTCTCGCTCCTCTCAGGCCGTGAGCTGATGCTCAGGGACTTGCGCTGAGGTGTGCCCCCATCTTACCTTCCTCTGCAGCAGGGCCACTTTATCGGGAAAGTAGGAGATGACCAGCTGTTTGCCAAAAATGCTGGAAAGCAGGTAGCAGCATGTGGCACCCACAGACGTCAGCACACAGCACAGCAAAAGTCCCAGCCATGGCCCAAACAAGGCACCAGCCAAAACATTCTGCAAAGAAAGCAAGACCTCGGCCATGAGAACATCTGGCCGATGTCAGTGGCCTGTCCTGTAGTCAGTGGCCTACCTGTAGCCAATGGACTATCCTGGAGCCAGTGGACTATCCTGGAGCCAGTGGCCTTTCCTGTCATGGAGCCAGTAGCCTGTCCTGGAGCCGATGGACTATCCTGGAGCCTGTGTACTATCCTGGAGTCGGTGGCCTGGCCTGGCCTGCAGCCAGTGGCCTGTCCTGTCCTGGAGCCAGTGGTCTGTCCTGGAGCCTGTGCATTGGCTCCCTCACTTTCACAGATTTTCACAGTCAAAACCCAAGGCCCATTTTGGCAAATGAAAACATAGAATATAAGCCTCGCCTTAGGCTCCTCACCTGTACAAGGACAAGGACAAGACCTCAGTGGATAATGGCAAGTTGAAAAGGAGACTAGGTACAGACATTACCTGACTGTGACAAGGGGTACAGTTACCCCATAGTCACTGGGGCACCAAAAAAGAGAAGTGAAGCTCACAGGCTATTACTATTGTGCAGACGGCAAATGGACCTTCGGCAATCTGAGTAGATGCCTTTTGGGCTTTTCACCTGATCAGTAAGCTCTCGCTGCACTTCTGTGTTGGCCACAGTCCTAACTGACCCGTAAAGCCTTAGCTTCACAAATATGGAAACGTTAATCAATACTTCTAAGTGCAGTTTGGCTGGTGAATATCGCCCTGCCTCAGAGCACGGGATCTGGGAGAAAGCACACGGGGAAAGTCAAGTGTGCCGGCGCAAGCCTGTGACCCCAGCACTTGGGAGACTGAGACAGGAGGACTGTTTTGATTTCAAGGCCAGCCTGGGCTAGCATATGAGTTCCAGACCAGTCTGCGCTACAGAGTGAGGCCTCGTCTCAAAGCATGAGCTGGACAGACGGCTCAGCGGCTGACAGTGCTGCCTGCTAATGTGGAGGACCAGTGTTCGGGTCCCAGCACCCACGCTGGGTGGCTGGCAACTGTGTAACACCAGCTCCAGGAGATCTGGTGCCCTCTTCTGACCACCACGGACACCTATACATATATGTACAGACACACATGTACACATAAACCAATCTTTTAAAAAGTATGAGTGAGTGAGTAAATGAACCAGTGAACTAAGGTAAGCAAACAGGCAAGAGGGGACCTCGGCGGTGAAGCTGTGGCTGCAATACATACTTGGCGTACATATGTCCTAAGTAGTCCTCAATAGACCTCTGTCTTGTGCTACCCCCATCCTACGGGGAGAGCCAGCCGCACAACCAAGATCACACTAGGCAGTATTAAAATGCACCCCAATTCCGGGTACACAGCCCTTACTAGTCCAGGCTCTATAGCACCCAATAGCAGCTAGCTCTTTCTTTGTCCTGAAGCAGGATCAGCTCAAGGGGGAAGTCAGTCCCAGGTCAGCCCTGACCTCCACCGTCCAGCTCCCTCTCTCAGACATGTTTGCTTTTCTTCTGGTTTCCAACCCCCGATCTGCTTGGGTAGCTCTAAGCTGGATCAGGAGTAGGAAAAGGTGCTGAGAGGAGAGGTGGAGCAGGACAATGGGAAACGTGGAGCACCACTAAGTGCTGAGTGCCCACCTGTGCCAGCCTCCTCGAGCTCATGCTTCATTTCGTCCTGCCTCACAACCAAAGGGGGGCCTGGGGGAGCGGCCACATTTTACAGAAGAGGAAGCCAGTTGGAAAGAAGGCAAGACACTGACCAGGAAACTGGAGCCAGGGATGGCAAAGCCCTGTTTGTAGAGGTAGGCACTGCAGAAGAGCAGGAACACATAGGCCTGGTGCTCCTTCCGGTACTCTCTAAGGACCTCGGAGAGCTCCCGCAGCTCCGCTAGATCTGAGGGGAACCACAGTGACCTAGGGATTGGAAAATCAGAGGGAAACATGGGTTCCAGAGAAGCCTCGTGCCTAAGAAAGTTACTCGGCGTGTATTCTTTCTAGAGTAAGTTATAAGCATGCAATCTGGCCATCTGGGAATACATACAAAGACCCAGTATAACACAACACAGGCAGATAGGGAGCAAGAGACCTGAACAGGCATCCCCATTCTGCTGTGTTCCAGTTGTGTGACCTTGTAGTGTCCATGGGTCTCATTTTCCTCGCCTAAAAAGAGTTTGGTGCTGGATAACTGCTGAATTCCCTCTTTACTTACTCAGGGGGGGTGTAAGATGGAACCCCGCAGCCTCCCCCACCCTGAGCATGGCCTCATCACTGATCTGGGTTCTAGTCTCTTTGATCTAGTCCAAAGAGGCAGGTATATGCATTTCCAGGCAAGTGCTGGGCATCCTAAATTGCCTGCGTTTCAAGAAGACCCCTACCCAGCAAGCCCAGAACTATTTAGACACTGTGTTGCCCCAGATGTACTTGGCAAAAACAAGTTTCAATTTTATCTATCTCACATCATAAATACAGCTTTCTTGATAATACGGCAGGCTCGCAGCCAATCCTTCCCACGAGCCTCTCTTTTCACCCCGCTCTGGGCCTGGAGCATTGTGAATCCGGTCCAAGGGTCACAGGACAAAGACTACCCTGCCTCTGCCATCTCAACACTCCAGCAGAGATAAACTGTAAGCAACCCCTCCTAGTTCTCCCGAGTACCTCTGACATTCACAAGAAAGCTCTTTCAGTTCCAGTAAAAGACAATGGTTACTGAAAACAGTTGTCCTGCAACTCAAATACCAATTAAGCTTCTTGATAATGCGGCAACGCGCCAGGCATATTTCATGCACTTTGTAAGTAGTATGCAGCAATCGGGCAATCCGCCCCTTGAGTCTGCTGCCGCCTCCCGACGCCTCCTGACTCGCTCGGCTGACGTGGGGAGCAGTCAAGCAGGAAGAGGCCAGACCGGATCACAGCCTCATAACCCTAAGTCCGGGCTGCGCCTCTCAAGATTGGCTGGTGTGGTAAATTGGACTGAGGAAGAAGAGCCACGGTGGCCGAGGTGGCTGAAGCTGGGAGGCGACCTTGCGTGCGGAGAAGCGCCAAGGTCGCCCCGCGCATCACTGGCAACCCTCCGACCTCTGCCCCTCTCACCGGCCCGCGCCCTCGCACTCACCGGCTGCCTTGGGGCTCCTCGGCCGACGCCAGCCTCGGCCCCACGGGCAGCTGCGTGGACAGCAGGTACAGCGCGAAGGTGCAGCAGCCGAATACAAGGAGCAGGCCGAGCAGCGCGCGCATACCGCGGCCGGGCCGGAGAGCGCGCTCCCCGCGTGGCAGCGCTGATCCCTTTTCCGAGAGCCGACTGGGCGGGCGGGGCGCGTTCGCCGCCGACGGACGGGGCGTGGTCTTGCGTGAAGCCCCGCCCCGCTACGGGCCCCGCCTCCTCCTAACGTGTGCTGGTCTGTGCTCTGCCCGCGTTCTCCATTCTGTCCTACAGCGCTGCCCTGTGTCATAAATGGGAGTGTTAAAGGTGAGTAGTGAGCCTGCCACAGTGAGCTTGCAGCATGGTGGTCAAACAGTCTGGTCCATTACCACACAAAGCGAATGTAGCCAAAAAATGTGGAACTGGCGCTGATGGTGACTACCACAGAAATAAACAGACTTGTTTGGTGCCTAATGGGTGTTCACTATCCCCACTCCTCATAAACACATTTCAGTATGTGCCTTAACGGATTAAAAAAATCTCAACGTTAAAACTCTTGTCTTGGCGCTAGCACGTACAAACCTGCAACACACATCTAAGTCTTAAAAAGAGTCTGTAATGCTGGACATGGTGGTCATGTGATTGATCCCAGCATTTAAGAAGAAAGACCCGGCGTTCAGTCATCCCTATATACTAAGCAAGATCCAGAAAGAGGCAGGGTAGGAGGTAGTGAGAATGGCATCTCCCAAAAGAAAACCCAGATTCAGATATCCAAAACTAGTGTGGTCCTCACACTGTGTGAATTCTGAACGATATGAGGTTTGAGTTTACTCTCTAGGATGAGCGAGCAGAGAGAGGAAGGAGCAAGTGAGCTGGCCCTAAGTAAGCCAACCTTCAGGGAAGCTCAGGGCTTGTGAGAAATGAATGAGAATTGACAACTTGGGAAGTAGATCGGCTGGGGAAATGGTGTTTCGATAAATTACAGGTAGAAAGATAAGCCTGGAAGCATTTAATAAGAGTGATTCCACTAGCCAGACATGGCGGTGCACGTCTGCAATCCCAGCACTTGGGAAGCTGAGGCAGGATGGAGACTTTGAGGGCAGCCTGGGGTTACAATGAGAACCTGTCTTCAAAAACAGGGAGGGGGAAGGGGGAAGATTCCATTCTCATCTGAGAATTCTACATGTCGGAGTAAGTTAACCCTGAGTTAACAGCAAGCACCCTGGTGGGAAAACAAACAACAACAACAAAAAAGAGGAGGAAGGACCACAGCAGTGGGCACAGGACCAGAGGGACAGTGCACAGTGCACACTGGAGGCTTGAAATGATAGCCCATATGACTGACAAACCAGGGGAAGACTTCAAAGGCTCAAAAGCCACAAAGCACTTCAGAGCACCTCTTGGTGTCAAATAGGGAACGTGTGTCAAAATGCAAGAGTACAAAATCCTCTCAACTGGACGTGCAAGAACTGAATCCACGAATATTCTTGGCCTTGGTTTTTTTTTTTCATTTTTAATTTTTTCATTTTACATACCAACTACACTTCAGCATCCCTTCCCTTCTTCCACTCCCTCTCACCGCCCCCCCAACCGAACTCCCCAGCTACTCCTCAAAGGGGGTAAGGTTTCCCATGGGGAGTCAACAAGGGTCTGGCATATCAAGGTGAGCCAGGCCCAAGTCGCTCCACCCTGTATTGAGGTTCATCAAGGTACCCCTCCATAGGAAATGGGCTCCCAAATGTCAGTTCATGCACTGGGGATTAATTCTGGTCCCATTGCCAGTGACCCCACAGACTGCTAAGCTGCACAGCTGTTGCCCACATTCAGAGGACTTAGTTTGGTCCTATACAGGTTCCCCAGCTATCAGGCCAGAGTCCCTGAGCTGCCACTAGCTTGGGTCAGCTGTCTCTGTGGGTTTCCCTATCATGATCCTGACCCCTTTGCTCATATAATCCCTCCTCCCTCTCTTCGACTGCATTCTGGGAGCTCGGCTCAGTGCTTAATTGTGGATCTCAGCATCTGCTTCCATCAGCTGCTGAATGAAGGTTCTATGATGACAATTAGAGTGTCCATCAATCTGTCTACTAGGAAAGGCCAGTTTAGTCACCCTCTCCACTATTGCTAGGAGTCTTAGCTGGGATCATCCTTGTGGATTCCTGGGAGTTTCCCTAGCACTAGGTTTCTCCCTAACCCCATCATGGCTCCCTCTATCAAGGTATCTCTTTCCTTGCTCTCCCTTTCTGTCCCAATTCAACCATTCCATTACCCCATGTTCTCCTCTCGCTCCCTTTTGCCCTCCCTTCTCTACCCTGTCCCCACATTCCAAATTTACTCAGGAAATTTTATTTATTGCTCCTTTCCAGGGGCATCCTATGCATATCTCTCTTAGGGTCCTCCTTGTTACTTAGCTTCTTGGGGGTTGTAGATTGTAGCCTGGTTTTCCTTTTCTTTACATCTAATATCTAATTATGAGTAAGTACACAACATGTTTGTCTGTCTGGGTATGGGTTTGCTCACCCAGGATGCTTTTTTTTATAGTTCCATGCATTTTTGGTCTTGTTTTGGTATCAAAGGACTGCCAGCATCCCAAAGGCCCATCATTTCAGGACTGGTAGTTTACTTATGACACTTTCAAAAATGGGATATTAAAACACTTCCTAAAAGAAAGAGGCAGTTCTGCATATCCTGAGCTGATATAGTGTGGTGGTTTGAATGAGAAGGACCCCGTAGATGCAGTAGCTAAGACACAGGTACCAGAGAGCTAGACTAACAGTCAAACAAGTTGAGGGGTTAAGAATACACTATGATAGGCTGGAGAAATGGCTCAATGGTTAAGAGCACTGACTGCTCTTCCAGAGGACCCGGGTTCAATTCCCAGCACCCACATGGCAGCTCACAACTGTCTGAAAATCCAGTTCCAGGGGATCTGACACCTTCACACCAATGCACATAAAAGAAAGATAAATAAACCATAAAAATAATTTAAAAAAGAGAGAAGCAGCCCCACTGCACATCACAAAAAAAAAAATACACTATGAGAGCCAGGCAGTGGTGGCACACACCTTTAATCCCAGCACTTGGGAGGCAGAGATAGGCGGATCTCTGTGTATTCAAGGCTAGCCTGGTCTATAAGAGCTAGTTCCAGGACAGGCTCCAAAGCTATAGAGAAACCCGGTCTCGAAAAACCTAATAGAAACATAGTGAGACCCTGTCTTTTCTATTGCTGTGAAGAGATACTGTGACTAAGGCAACTTATACAATCATTTAATCGGGGGCTTGCTTACATTGTGAGCAGGTCAGCCCATGATCATCACAGTGGGAAGCAAAGACAGGAAGAGCCTGGGGTCCCCCAGTGCTCCTAAAGCTAAGTCACTCAGTGACCCGAGGACCTCTCCGCAGTTTTTACTTCCTAAAGGTGCTGCTAGCTACCTCGCGAGAGCCCACATGCATCAGTGGAAGAGTTAAGTGTTCAAAGAGCTGGAAGAGGCGACGTGTGCTGTGACCAGAAATGAGGTCTGAGCTGACACCCTGAAGAGGGGACACAAAGGCAAGGAGCTGAGTGGTGAGTGGCAGAGACCTGGAGGAGCCAAGAGTGCACACAAATTCAATTGTGTCACTCATCTGGGATACAGAGACAAAGATGAAGGAGGAAAGGAAGACAGGCAATGGCTCCCACTCCTCGGTGCTAGTATAGTCCCAGCACCAGGGAGGCTGAGGTAAGAAGATCCCAATTTCAAGACCAGCCTGAGCATCATAGTGAAACCCTGATGCAGGAAAGCAGTGTGTCCAGAAAGGAAAAAGGTTTGGGAAAGAATTGCCATCCCTCTGGGTCCCTTCACCTGCCATCACCATTACCTGAAAGCCATTGAAACTTGTCTCCACTCCACAACAAACTTCCTTTCTTACCCATTCATTCACCCACCCACCCGTTCATCCCACAGCAGCCCCCCAGGATCTACATCAGCTCAGTGTTGTGCTAAAAGCCCAGGAGTCCCAAGAGTTTGTGATTTGGCAGAAATTCCCATTCTTGACATTTGTACAGTTATTTCGGCCCTCTGGAGAAAAGGGAAAGAGGACAAAAAGTAGCCATGCTGATATAGGACCAATAAAAACCTCTGAAATCAAAGGCCCTCGCCACGTCCACTGTCCACATCTGGGTGTGGCCAGGTGCCACTCCTGTGAGTAACAGTGCACCAAGCCTTCCTCCATCCAGAGTGCAGCCATGTCTTCTTACACAGAGTGGACTCTCGCTATGTAGGAAAGCCTAGAAGATGTGGAGGACGGTAGCGGCTGTCCTTGGTTGTCAACTCGACACCATCTGGAATTAACTAAAACCCAAATGGCTAGGCACACCAGGGATGAATTTTCTTTCTCGATTCAGTCATCCGAAGTGAGAAGAACCACTCTGAATCTGGCTCTTTGAGTTGAGAAGACTCACCTTTCATCTGGGCCACACCTTCCGCTCAGTCGGTATAAAGAACATGGAAGAAGGAAACTTGCTTCCTTTATGTGTTTGCTCTCAATGGCAAATCCATTTCATTCCCTGGCATTGCAGTCTACCTTTTCAGCATTATGTCATATACAGAAGACCAGCTGAGACATCCAGCCCTGTGGACTGAACTACTGGGACTCTAAGACTCTCTGTTGGTAGACAGCCATTGCTGGAATAGCTGGTCCATGGTCTATAAGGCATTCCAATAAATCTCCTTCATCTATATATACATATATATGTGTGTATATATATATATATATATATATATATATATATATAATTTCTGTTCCTCTAAGAACCCTGACTGATAAAGGTGCCATGATGTTAACTGTCGGCATGACAGAAGTTAGAGTCACCTGAGTAATGTACCTCTGGGCATGACTTTGGGGAGATGATTACATTACTGAAATGGGGAGACCTGTCCGCTGTAGGTGGCACCATTCCCTAGTCAGGGGATCTGGACTGTATAAGAGCTGAGAAACTGGTCCAGGGAGATGACTCAGCTTGCCTCTAAGCCTGATGACCAGATTCCGGGAACCCACACACTGGAAGGAGAGAACTTACTCCCACAAATTGTCTTCTGCCCCCGACACTTGTGTTGTGAGATGTATACATGTGTGTAAACATAAACACACAACATAATCTAATAAAGTGTAGTCATTTCTTAAATGCAGCAAGAAGTGGAGCTGAACACTGGCAAGCCTGCCTTCATTACCCTGGTTCCTGACTGGCTGAGATGGCCAGCTGCCTCTAAGCTCCTCGACCTTGACCTCCCAGGCACGATTGGCTGTACCCCTGGACTGTGGGCAAAAACCAACCCTTTCTCCCTCCATCTGTTTCTTCCAGAGCATTTCACCATAGCAACAGGAAAAGAAAAACCATGTGGATTTGGACCCATTTGCTCACGGCGTCCATTTCTTTGCAACATCTGGGGCAGCTGGAGGAAGAGAAGTGTACCAGGCCTGTGACACCGTCCCGGGCTGGTCACAGCTGTGGGGTGGGTGGTAGCCACCTTCACACCAGGCACCTGAACCCCCTAACTGTCCTATTGTCATTTTGCCCTCTCCGTCCCTAGCCCTCTGAAACCTCTTAACTTAACGGCAACTGTCATTCAGAAATACTCAGAGGTCGCGTCTGTCTCCAGGGAGGCCACAGGAGACTTCCCAAAGGTTCTATGCAGCAAGAACTGGGCCATGCTTTGCATTCGCCGCAGCAGCACAAGTGAGAGCAGCGTGTCCCGAGGTTAGCGTTGGTGGGATCATGCACAGCCTATTTTTATTTTGCATCTCTGCATCTTAAAGAATTTCCTGGCATAATTATGGATTAACCAGCAGACAGGAAAGAAAACATTCCAAAGGATTGCTTTAAATAATGTTGTCTGGGGCTGAGAACAGGGCCCACTGCACCTAGGGTGTTCAATCCCAGGGCAGAAAAACTATCCTGTAACGGCCACTTCTGCAACCTCGGTGAAATCAAGTCCATTTATTTCTCTCCAGCCTCTCGCTTTACCTGGTCCATGTGCAATGTTGCTCCTGTTTCTTCTCCTTCTCCCTTCCACTTAGTGCCTGGTCTCAATACAGACTATGGGGCTCTAAGGCCAACCCACTGCCTCTGGCCATCAGAAAAGGCTGGAAGCCAGAGCCTTCTTGCCATCCAAAGCCAACAGTCTGGGAGCAAAGCAGAGGTTGGAAAGGAGAGGTTGCGTATCTATCTATACGTGAGATATGGCTAAACTGTATCAAAATGAAAGCATATTCACATTATGGACTCAAGGGATTTCCCAAACCCTTCCCAGACTGGCCTTCCCAGTCCACAGTTCCCATGAGGTAGTCCAGTTCATTCTCTTCTTCACGCCGGATGATGGAGGATTGGACATGAGGAACATGGAAATCCAGTGAGGCCTCCGGCCTCCGCTACACTCCCAAGAAGCCTGATCCATGGCCCTGAGGGTGTGATATGGCAGGCAGCAGAACTGACAGTCCAGAACAAATGAGGCCCCAGGACGGGGCCCAACAGAGCGCTCTGCTGTCGGGAGCCCAGCTATTTCTGTCTTGCCCTAGTTAGGGGCTCCCTTCCCAGTGCTGTTTCATAATCGCGGTTTGTTTGACATTTTGTGATGTGACATCCATGGGACACTGCCGAAAATAACCTTGGGTTCCCCCCCCCCCCCCCCCCCCCCCGTGCTTTTGAAGTCTTCAGGACGAAGTAAGGTAAGGCAGCAAGAGCCTTAGCGGTAGAGATCCTGACGTCACCACTGCCTGCGTGTCCTGCAGGAGTTACTCCTGCTACTTAGAGCACAGAATAGGTTGGAAGAACGTCTCAACATTTTCCAGAAGGACAAGATCATACCGACACAAGTGAGGCCTGGGGAAAGCAAAGAGCCCCGTTAGTGAACTATCAGAAGCCCCTAGTCTAGGCAGGGAAGTCCCCTGACAGCGGGGGGGAGGGGTTGTTGCAGAGCAGTTGCTTCAAACCAACAGGCAGATGGCTAGGGACGGAAGTCGAGCACAAGAAAGCAGGGTGTGGAGCCTCGTTTAACTCTACTCCACTCTTTCTTTTTAAGATTTATTTTAGATCTTTGGGAGTTCAAGGCCAGCCTGGTCTGCATAGTGAGTTCCAGGACAGCCAGAGCTGTCCTGAAACAGAGCACAAAGAAGCCTTGCCTTGAAAGAAAAACAACAACAAAAAGGATTTTATTTTATTTTATGTGTATGAGTGTTAGGCTTTCGTGCATGTTGTGTGCATGTCGTGGGCATGCTGTGTACCCGTGGAAGTCAGATAGGGCATCAGTTTCTAGATGGCTGTAAGGTACCGCATGGGTGCTAGGAATCCAACCCAGGTCCTCTATTCCACTCCCAATCCTCCCACCTCTACTTTGCAAGTGCTGGGATTAGAAGCCACCACTCCCTGGTTCTTCCTTTTTTGTTTTTGAAACAGGGTCTGGATGAGTTTCCCAGTTTGTCTTGAATTCCTCAGTCCTTAAACATTTGATCCCCTTGACACACAGTTTCCAGATTAGCTAGGAATATGGACCTACATTACCAGCCCCCCAAAAAATTAATTATCAGTCAATTAAAAGGCCCTGTTGTAAGATACAGTGAATACCTTTTGAAGAATCTTTTATGCCTTTTTGTCAAGATGGCGCCAAAAGTGAAGAAGGAAGCTCCTGCCCCTCCCAAAGCCGAAGCTAAAGCGAAGGCCTTGAAAGCCAAGAAGGCAGTGCTAAAAGGTGTCCACAGCCACAAAAAGAAAAAGATCCACACACTGCCCACCTTTCGGCAGCCCAAGACCCTGCGGCTACGAAGGCAGCCTAAATACCCCCGGAAGAGCGCGCCCAGGAGGAACGAGCTTGACCACTATGCCATCATCAAATTCCCCCTGACCACCGAGTCAGCCATGAAGAAGATAAAGACAACAACACACTTGTGTTCATTGTGGACGTCAAGGCCAACAAGCACCAGATCAAACAGGCTGTGAAGAAACTCTTTGACATCGATGCGGCCAAAGTCAACACCCTCATAAGGCCCGAGGGAGAGAAGAAGGCGTATGTTCGGTTGGCTCCTGATTATGATGCTCTGGATGTTGCCAACAAGATCGGAATCATCTAAACTGAGCCCAGCCAGCTAATTCTAAATATACCCTTTTTCACCATAAAAAAAAGAATCTTTTATTGCTAAACATTTTCTTAGTACACTAAATTTTTGTTTGTTTTTTGAGATAGGGTTTCTCTGTGTAATAGTCATGGCTGTTCTAGAACTCACTTTGTAGACGACACTGGCCTTGAACTCACAGAGATTCATCTCCCTCTGCTTACTGAGTGCCTGGCACAGTACCCTAATTTTTTTTTTCGAGACAGGGTTTCGCTCTAGTTTTAGAGCCTGTCCTGGAACTAGCTCTTGTAGACCAGGCTGGCCTCAAACTCATAGAGATCCACCTGCCTCTGCCTCCCAAGTACTAAGATTAAAGGCATGTGCCACCACCACACAGCAAGTACCCTAAATTTTTAAGTAAAAGAAATTCACCATTTTGAAACCTAAGGCAGGAGAATTGACACAGGTTTGAGGTCAGCCTGGGCTATATTGGTAGAGCCTGTCTCATAAAGAATGTAAGGGAGGGAGGGAGGGGGGGGGAGGGAGGGAGGGAGGGAGGGAGAGAGAGAGAGAGAGAGAGAGAGAGAGAGAGAGAGAGAGAGAGAGAGAGAGGACTAGAGAAGGAAGCTAGATAACGTGAACTTGCTACGCCTTCCTGTGGCTCACCTGTCTGGATGCACCAGCGACCTCAGCTTCACTCGCAGGATCCTGAGCTTGTACTTTGGACCTACCACAGACCCTGTGGAGAACAGCAAGGACATTTCTGCCACTTTCTCCAGATCTTGATTAAATCTTGCAAGCAGACTCACTTGATGGTACTTCTGAAAGGTCGATGGTTCACTGGAAGGAAGAAAAGGTGTTTCAAAATGAACGTAGATTGCTGACGAGGGAAAGCTGCTTCCAGCCTCTGCATCTACCCAGCAGGTGACCCTTCAGTCCCTCTGCCTGCACAAGCTGACTTCTGTGAGCGAAGGCCCCTGAGTCCATAGGACTGCCTAAATGAAGCTACTGACCTCCAAAGTGACACTGGGGAAGCGTGCTACTCTGCCTGTCTATTGTGGTCAAGAGGATGTCCAAATCTCCAGCACATCCCCACAGCTGCTTGTGGAGTCCAGGCTCTCCATGTGACAGAGCTTGTATGCGGCCATGTGGAAATGAAACCCAGCTCAGAGTCTTCCAGCCCTGCCACACTCCATGAAGCCTTAGATGGGATTCCAGTGGGGCTAGGGTAACAAACACCTGTGTGATCTCCTAATCCCAATCTGAGACATACGTGTGGAGCCAGCCCATCGCCCCAAACCCAGGGTGCTCGTCAGTTAGTTATCTGTGGCTTCCTTTCCCAGCTTCCCAGAGGAATAAGAACAGTGCTGAACCTCCCCAGAGAGAGAGATATCTGAGGACCACCGGGGTTTCCAATTATGATGTATTGGATGTTACCAACAAAATTGGGATCAGACATTAATTCAAACTCCATATTCTTTCACCCCTTAAAAAATGGAATGTAAATGAAGCAGTAAAGATGTTAAGGCTCCAATTTTCTCTCCCTTCCCCTCCCTCCTAGTACTGGAGATCAAACCCATCAAGTCATTCATGCAAGCTGTCTGCCACTGAACCTCCCAAGTCTGCTTTTGACTTCTGTCTTTCAGACGGGATTTTACAAAGGAGCCCAGCCTACCTTCAACTCGCTCCCTGGCTTAAGTGGTCCTTGAATTTGCAATCCTCCAGCCCAGCTTTCCAGATACTACAGGTCTTACCATGATGCCCGGCTAAGGTCACCTTCTTGTGTTTGTCTTTTCTCTTTCTTAAAGTTTAGCTCTTAATGGACAATTGCTTTCAGTTACATTTATAATTTATCTATCCATCAATTCTTCCATTATTTATTTATCTATCATCTATCAATCTATCATTTATCTATCATCCATCTGTCATGTATCCATCCATCTACCCATCTGTCATCTATCTATCCAACCATCTATCTAGCCATCCATCCATCTGTCATGTATCTATCTGTCTGTCTATCTCACCTTCTTTATCTCTGTGTATGGTGCATACATGCATGATATAACATAGGTCAGAGGACAACTTGTGAGGTAAGTTGGTTTTCTGTTCCCACCATGACAGGTCGTCAGGCTTAGCAGCAATTGACTTTGCCCACTGAGCCAACTTACTGACCCAAGGCCTTGATCTTAATTGAGATATGAAGGCAAGAAGGTAAGGCCAGTTTGGATTACTTAGTGAGTTCAAGATCAGCCTGTGTTACATGAAGCCCTGTCTCAGAACAAACAGAAAGATATTTCAAAATTCAAATTTAGGGATTCACACGTGATCAAGATTCCCTTAGTAAAAATCAAAGTTCTCAGGTGCATGTAAGGAAAACAAGAAAGCATTGCTGGCATGAACACAAGAATTTGGTCAGAGCCCTGCCCTGCCCTCTTCCTGTGTGGGACCACACAGGGTCCTCCAGACCCCTTAGGTGCTGTGTATTCTGAAAGTCAGTATTCTAGGTCAGATCTGTTCAGGTTCCCTCACCTTAATCCACAGCCCATACACCTGAGGCTAGTCTTCCTCATGAAGTCCTTCCTACTGTTGGCCTTCCAGGAAACACTAACCCTCTGTGGACAAGGGGATATCAGATCTGAAACGAGTCAGTGGGGAACCCTGAAAAACACAACTACTCACAAACTTCCAGTGCAAGGAGGTGGGGGTGGGTAGCTCCGTGGGAGGAGTAGACTCCTTCATAGAGTGATGCAGGTACTTGGTGAACAGGCCTGCTGCCCCTGCCACACTCACACTGACTAGGTGTGCCGCACTGACCCAACCACTCAGCTCCCTAGCCACAGTTTCTTCATATGTAGAGCACATGGTAGCAACATCTCTGGTCTAGAAATCCCTCAAGCCGTGTGTGCCACACCCTTCATTCAATAATCGAAGGCAACCATTGTAAATGCAAGATGCATCTTTAAAGGCATTGCCCTAGTTTGCTTCCTGTTGCTGTAATAGAAATAACTGAAAACAGCTTGGGAAGGAGAGGGTGTGTTTAGCTTACACATCTGATCGCAGCCCATCACCGAGGGAACTCAAGGCAAGAACTCTGCACGGCAGAAACAGAGGCAGGCAGAGGCCATGGAAGAACACTGCTTACTGGCTTGCTCTCCGTGGCTTGCTCAGCCTGCTTTCTTTTACAACCCAGGACCACTTGCCCAAGAACTATTTCATAAAATGTGGGTGATTTGTTTTTGTTTTTGTTTTTCAAAATATAAGACATTTTAAAAACAGAATCTGGGAAGCTGGAGAGATGATGGCTTGACAGTTAAGAGTACTAGCTACTCTTCCAGAAGTCCTGAGTTCAATTCCCAGCAACCACACGGAGGCGCACAACCATATGTAATGAGATCTAGTGTCCTCTTCTGGCATGCAGGCATACATACATAATAAATAAATCTTTAAAACAAAAGAGAAACAGAATGTGTCAAGAACTCCTTAGCACAAACTTACATGTTTATGTTGTATATTCCTCTGTTTTTAAATTAATAATATTTTATTGACAAGTCATAATTATATGCATTTATGGAATATGATTAAAGTTCTGAGAGATGGATACATACACACCCAAACACACATTGTGAAATGCTTAAGTCTACACATTCCTTTTTGGGGGTGCTGTTGTCATATGTATGGGGCGTTTGCCTGCATGCCTGTCTGTGTGCATGCCTGACACCTCTGGAAGTCAGGAGAGGGCATTGACTGCTCTGGACCTGGAGTTGTGGACAGTTGTAAGCCACTACATGGATGCTGGGAACTGGGCCTGGGTCCTCTGCAATAGCAGCCAGTGTTGTTAACTGCTGAGCATCATTCCAACGCCCATTTTGGGTTTTAAAACAGGTCTTCCTGTATGAGGCCAGCTGGTCTTACACTCCCTGTGTAGCCTAGGCTAGCCTCACACTCCCCACAGTCCTGCCTACCCCGCCTCCCAAATCACTGTGATTACAGGTGTGTTCCACCCGTGCAGCTAAATCAGCACTCAGCCCAGAACTTCATGGCTTGAACTTTCACAGAAGGCATGGGTGGTTTTTAATTTTAAATGTGTAATTGCTGAAAATAAAAAGAGAAGGAAGAAAGGCAAGACAGACAGGGAGGACACGCAAAAGAGGAAAGAGGAGGGAGGGCAGGAAGAGGTAAAGAAGGGAGGGAGGGCAGAAAGAAAGCTTCTGTACCAATTGTACCGGAAGAAAGCAAAGGTGAGCAAGAGACAGGACCAGCCCATGAGCCAGAGACCCTGCTGCCTTCGGTAGCATGAAGGACAGTATAGGCTGCTGAGCGAGAAGAATGTCTCAACAGAATGAAGGACGGCTAAACAAGAAGAACATCTCAACTGGCAACTCAAGCTTGGCGCTCAACTTACTGATCAATCTTGGATTCTGTGATATTTCCATCTTCGCCTCTCAGTTTGATTGTAATGAACCCTCTTCTTACGTTCTTGTTCCAAGATACAATGTCCACGAAATAATGATACACTGTGAAACAGGGAGAGAACCCCATAAGAGAGGTACCCCAATGCTCCCCAGTAGGGTCCGGTCTAAAAAGCCAAGACCCCTTTCTTCCTCTTCTATAGTTTCTCTGCAAAGACCCAGGGAGGAGTTTTCTTTGCTCTTTAATGTTGTTTTTCAAGTCCAGGTCCCTCAAACTCATGGTGTAGGTGAGGAAGGCCTACAGGTGTGTGCCACCAGACCAAGCTGCACGCAGCAGACTTTTCTACTTTTTCTTCTTCTTCTCTCTGGTACAGACGGCATGAGTGACAGCAGAGTCCAGTGCTCTCTAGGGATCGTGCAGGCCCTGGACGCCTGCCTCATAGGCTGGCGGGCTTGTTCAACTTGTGACTCATCCTAGAAGTTCATGCTCGAGGACCCTATAATCCAGTTATCAAAGAAGACCCCACAAAATAATCTGATGGTGTTATAAGTGAAGTTACTCTCATTTTGCGTGGGGTTGTTCTGCAGACAGTGCTCGAATCACGGAGAATTGTAATGTTTTCCTGCCACTGTTTCTCGGCAGGTCAGTACCACACTGGGCAGCTTTGGGTTGTACTGTGTTTGGCTTTAGGAAATCCCTGTCGGAGGCTGGCCAAGACGGCGCACTGGAAAAGGCACTTGCTGCCTGTTCTGACAACCTGAGTTTGATCAAGAATGGATTCCTGCAAGTTGTCCTCTAACCTCTACCCACATACTGTTCCGGGACAAACACACATACATCACTTAAAAAAAAAAAAAAAGGCATGAACTGGAGTGATGGCTCGGAAGTTAAACGCACTGTCTGCTTTTCCAAAGGACAGGGTTCAAGTCCTAGCATCCACACGATAACTCACAAATGTCTCTAACTCCGGTTTCAGAGGATCTAGAACCCTCTTTTGGCATCTGCGGGCACTGGCCACATGGTACACAGACACACATGCAGGCAAAATACTCATCCACATAAAATAGATAAACAGATAAAATATTTTAAAAAAAAAACATTAAAGGAGTTCTGACTTGGGATAGAAACAGAATTCCCCACAATTTCTGAAACACCTGCTGCCACTTTTCTGCTTACTCACTCAAAGTAACATTCTCACTGATCATTATGAAATCAGAATGCGGACAAGCTCCGTGAGACAACACCGGTGGCCCACATGAAGCAGCGGTAGATACTTAGCCAAGGGTTACCTCCTTGTGGAAAACGAGCAGGCTCATCTAGCTCGTCAGAATGCAACTTTGCTTTTGTCTTTAATAAATGATAATATATATGTAATAATTATTTTAAAGCAAACTTGTTTATGGTTTATTATCAGTAAATATTTCATTTCTGTATCAGTTTTATAGTTTTGGTTGTGAGCCTAGCCCTTAATGACTGAGCCACCTCTCTAGCCCTCTGGAGCAGTTTTATACATCTATATATCTGGGAATGTTTGAAATGTCCACAGGCCGACTCCCTGGGAGCCCCCAGGCCACTCCTGCTTGGGAGCAGGTAGGCTAACTGCAGATCTTCACCTTCGCTTCCATCCCTATGTGTCCAATCTCCCAGTCCCATCCCCAGCTTTGCTGCAGGACACCTGCTAACCAAGAAGTGAAAAAAATCTGTTTGATAAAAACTTCAAGTCAATGGTGAGAGAAACTGAAGAAGATATCAGAAGACGGAGAGATCTCCCATGCTTGTGGATCGAGAGGACATAACAAAAATGACTACTCTACTAAAAATCATCTACACATTCAAAGGAATCCCCATCAAAAGTCTAACACAATTCTTTACAGACCTCGAAAGAACAATTCTCAGTTTTGTATGGGAACACAAAAATTCAGGATAGGAGCTGGTTGAGGTGGTACACACCTTTAATGCCAGTACCCGAGGAGGCAGAGGCAGCGGATCTCTGAGTTCAAGGCCAACCTGGACCACATAGAGGGTTTTGGGATAGCCAGGGCTGTATAGAAAAACCCTGTCACAAAAAAAAAAAAAAAAAAAAAAAACAAGCAAAAAAACAGGATAGCTAGAATCCGAACAATAAAGAACTGCTGGAGGTGTCACTGTCCCTAACTTCAAGCTGTATCACAAAGCTATACTAACAAAAACAGCATGGCACAAAAACAGGATTATCAATGGAATTGAATTAAAGACCCAGACAAAATTTACACACCAATGAACACCTGATTTTTGATAAAGAGGCTAGAAATACACACTGGAAAAAATGACAGCATCTTCAACCAATACTCTGGTCAAACTGGATGGTTTCATGTACAAGAATCCAAATAGATTCAAACTTATCATCCTGCTCAAAACTCAACTCCAAATGGATCAAAGACCAACATAACACCAGATACATTGAAACTGATAGAAGAGAAGTGGGTATCCTTGAACACATTGACTCAGGAAAAGACTTTCTGAACCGAACACCGATCGGCAGGAACGAAGAACAACAATTAGTTAAGGAGCCTCATGGAACTGAAAAGCTTCTGTAAGACAAAGGACACCGACATTTAGACTAAGTGGCAGACTACAGAATGGAAATAGATTTTTTTTTTTTACCAACTTCCTATCTGATAGAGGGCTACTATCCAAAATATATAAATAATTCAAGAAACTAGACATCAAGAAAAAATAACCCAATTATTTTTTCTTAGGACCGAAACAGATCTAAACAGAGAATTCTCAATAGGAAAACCTCAAATGGCAAAAAAAAAAAAAAACCTCTTAAAAATGTTCAACATCCTTAGTCATCAGAGAACTACAAATCAAAACAACTCTGAGATTTTATCTCACACCAGTCAGAATGGCCAAGATCGACAAAACAGGTAACAGTTCATGCTGGAGAGGATGTGGAGTAAGAACACCCTCCATTGTTAGTGGGAGTGCACAGTTATACAGGTGCTGCGGAACTCAGTATGGTGGTTCCTTAGAAAGATGGGAACTGATCTACCTCAAAATCCAGCTATATCACTCAAGCATATACTCAAAGATGCTTCATCCTACCACAGAGACACTTGCTCAACCATGTTCATTGCTGCTCTATTCATAATAGCCAGAAATTGGAAACAACCTGGATGTCCTCAACAGAAGAATGGATGAAGAAAATGTGGTACATTTTGCACAATGGAGTGCTACTAAGCTGTTAAAACAAAATGGCATCAATAAATTTGCAAGCAAATGGCTGGAACTAGAAGAACCTCATCCTGAGGGAGATATTCCAGACCCAGAAAGACAAATATGGTATGTATTCGCTTATATGTGAATATTAGCTCTTAAATCAATGACAACCAAACTATAATCCATAGAACCACAGAAGACGCACATAGAGTAAGGGATGAGAGGGAACAGATAAATCTCATTCCGAAAAGCAAATACAATAGATAAATCTGGATGGGGAGGGCTGGTATGAGAGGATCAAGTGGGAAAGGGGAGTGGAGAGGGGGGCTTGTGGAAGGAATACAAGGAGAGACAGGTAAAATAAATTAAAATGTTGTTTAAAATAGAAAGAAATGTTCACAGGCCAAGGATCTGTGAGAGGCAGGTTCCAGAAGCCCCAGTGTGGAACAGAACTCATTCAAGTATGGCATTCACCTGTTTATTCCTGACCCCAGCTTCATGCCTCTTTGACAGTGACTGTGCCCGGGGTGCTGGTACTGTGACTCAGACTCACTTCGGTCCTAAAAACCTAGAAGACTGGCATGATTGTCTCCATTTACCAAACTGGCCCGAGACACTCACAGAGGAGGTCACACAACTGCTCCGGACAGAAGCTGTCCTGGTCTTGTGCCCTTTCAGCTCCAAACACCAAGCTCTATCTACCAGGAAGCATCCAGAAAGCTGAGACCCTGTCCTCCCCCAGAATGCCAGGGTCGGACAGAACCGCCAACACACGTTCACCACTCACTGCAGAACGGTTTTTCCTCAGCCGTGTCAAAAAATGCCTTCATCATCGGAGGGTCTTTGTCCAGCAAGTGGTCTTTCCAACTGTCAGCATAGTAGCCTACGAAACAAGTCAGAAACACCAGCGTGTGTTACGTGAACATGAAAGTCCCAGAGGATGTGAGGGCAGTTTACAACTCTCTCCCGCTCCATCTACGGCCCCTAATGTGAGGACAGGAGAGACCACCAGGAACATCCTGTCAATGCTCTTACATCTTGCTGGCTGCCCCCATCTTAAGAACTGAAGTGCAGAAGGAACCTACCGTGACCGCTCCCCTGAACTGGCCCTCCGTAGCTCAGCAGGGAGTGTGAGTGACACACGCTGGACACACAGAGAGTTTTCAGCTATGCATTCAAGGTTAAGCCGGATGGAGAGGCAGCATCCCTAATCACTCGTGCAAAGCAATGGGGTCTTGTTGGCTTCATTCTGAAGATAGGACTCAAGGCCTCACAATGCAAACTATTTACTCTTTACCCCAAGTAATACACATAGTTCTCTCTCTGTCTCTCTATTTCTCTCTCTCTATTTCTCTCTCTCTATTTCTCTCTCTCTCTCTCTCTCTCTCTCTCTCTCTCTCTCTCTCTCTCTCTCTCTCTCTCTCTCTCTCTCTCTCTCTCTCTCTCTCTCTCCCCCCTCCGCCCCTCCCCTGCCAGATGAATATCTCCCTGCAGGTCAATAGTGAAGCCTCTTTCTGTCAGGAGAAATCTTCTTAGCCAACCTCTAGCTCTGGAAAATGTCTCTGTGGTCTCTACAGTGTCTTTTCCCCACCAGATGCCTGCATGTGGACACAGGAGTCAGAGTGTAGAGAGAAGTCTTTATAGACACCACCTGTTGAAAGGAACCATTCTGCAAGGCTCAGTCCTGGGCTGGGTCCTTAGCTCAGCGTGGACCTCCTCCAGCAGAAAGGCATGTGCACCGTGGGTGTTTTGTCCAAGCAGGGACAGGCTAGGCAAAGCCTGGGGAGGCTTGCAATCCTGCTAGCATCTTCTTTTCCATGACAGAATAGTAAGTCTAGGAGGGCTGCAATAACCTCAGTGTGGAATCCATTGTAGCTTGTTCTTAGAACTCTGGGTACACGCTAGTTGTTGTTTGTTTTGGCTCTGGTGTGTGTGTGTGTGTTGTCAATGCTGTTTTTGAAAAAGGGGGTCTTGGGGCTGGAGAGATGGCTCAGAAGTTAAAAGCATTGACCAATCTTCCAGATGTCATGAGTTCAACTCCCAGCAAACACGTGGTGGTTCACAACCATCTATAATGAGATCTGGTGCCCTCTTCTGGAGTTCAGGCAAACATGTAGACAGAACACTATATAATAAATAAAAATAATTTTTAAAAAAAAGAGGGTCTCTATGTAGCCCAGACTAGCTCAAACTCTCAGTCCTCCCTATTGAGCTGTCATGCTCTAACCTAACATTTTTTAAAGATTTATTTATTTATTATGTATTCAGGGGAAGAGGGCACCAGATCTCATTATAAATGGTTGTGAGCCACCATGAGGTTGCTGGGAATTAAACTCAGGACCTCTGGAAGAACAGTCAGTGCTCTTAATCACTGAGCCATCTCTCCAGCCCCTAACACTCTTTATAATTCAGGACTAGAGTAGTTCAGAGAACAAATTGACCAGGAAAAGTTGGCTATAATGTTTAGCATGATAGTACACTTTTGTAATACTTGCTACTTTGGAGGCTGTAGCAAGAAGGTCTCAAGTTCAAAGCCAGCCTAGGCTACAGAGTAAGCTCAAACCAACCTAAGTTATACAGCAAGGCCTTATCTCAAATACTAAATAAAGCTGACTCTATAAAACTTTAGGAAATACAAACTGAGATGAATTTTTAGAGAGTAAAATGACTCTAACTAAGATCTGTACAAAAATGAACTGTCCGTGAGAAATGGGAACTTGTTGGCCTTACCCAGGAGGGGACAGGACACCATTTGCCCAATGCCACAGTTGACACACTTGCCGTTCCTGTAATCCCGATAGGAGTCACAGGGGTAGGCGCTGATGGAACAGTTATTTTGCAGGGATGCGATGTACAGGAACACAGACATCTGGTGGTCACACTTGAAGTACTTCATGCCTTGATGACAAAGGAACCAAGAGCAGCTGCATGCAGCGTTTACCGGACGCGCATTTCTCATTTTACACAAGCACCGCCCACCACACCTGATCCCAGTTCCTGAGCGCCAGGCACTACGTGGAAAGCTTCCATGTGCTCAGTCCACTTAATCCTTATGAAAACCACGGTCAGGGACTCACGACGACCAGTAGTAAGGTGGAGAGCAAAATGCTTTAGGATTGTTGTAAGAACAAAGGCAAACCTTGGGTTGGGGGGTGGAGGGGGGAGAGAACGCTCAGTGCTTAAGGGTGCTTGTTGCTTCTTCCAGAGGACCCCAGTTCAATGTCAGCATCCATGTTGGCAGCTCACAACTGCCTGGAACTCCCGCTCCACGGGGATCCAATGCCCTTTTCTGGCCTCCATAGGCGATAATGCTGTCATGCACAACACACACGCACACACACACACACACTCCAGGTGGCGGAGAGAAGTAGCACTGACTGGTACGATGCTTGTTTAGTTTCTATGTACGAGGCTCTAAATCCCATCTCCAGCATCACTAAAAGGGAGGGAGACTATGTAGATGGCTCAACACGTGAGCTTGGATCTCCAGCACCCATGTCAAACCCAAGCAGAGCAGCATGGGTCTGTAACCTTAGCACTAGCTATGGGGAGACAACTGGCTTCCAGGGGTTTGCTGGCCAGCCAGGATAGCTTACAGAGGAAGTCCCATGTTTAGTGAGAGTCTCTGTCTCAAAAAGACAAAATGGAGAGCAGCCAATGAGAACACCCTCTGGTCTCTACACTTACACACATGGGCACATGCACTCACACACACCACACTACAGCACACACATCATACACTACACACACCATACACTACACACACACCACACACACACCACACCACACACAAAGAGGTAGAGAGAGCAATGACAATAAGCAATTACAGAAACAAGGTAAACAGACCCAGAGAGGCTGGGTAATAAGGATGGCCCGAGTGGAGGAACACATTGCTCTCCAGGGGAAAGAGAAACAGAAGAGATCTTGTGGGTGGGGTGGAGAGGGTAGTGGATGGGGGTGGGTATGGGAACATGAGGGATGAGTTTGGGATGGGTGGAGGAGGAAAGTACTAAAAGAGATGACTTGAAAGGGGCATTTTGGGGTTAGGTAGAAGCCTGGTGCAAGGGAACCCCCCAGGAATCTACAAGGATGACCCCAGCTAAGACTCCTGGCAATAGCAGATATGCAGCCTGAACTGGCCAGATCCTGTAACCAGGCAAGACTACCAGTGGAGGGACTGGGACACCAGCCCAGCCACACAACCTTCCACCTACAGTCTGTCCTGTCTATGGAATGTGCTGGGGTAAGGGTGGCCCAGAGATTGTGGGAGTGGCCCAGCCTGAGATCCACGCCATAAGGGTCAGCCTGCCCCTGACACTGTCTGGAGGGCCAGCACCCAAAGGCTGTATAGAACAGAGACCTAGGACAGAACCAAACACAACTTGGAGGGGGAAGTGGCAATGTAATGATGCCTAATGATATTCTGCTATACTCATAGATTGTTGACGGCCCGATTGTCATCAGAGAGCCTTCATCCAGTAACTGATGGAAACACATGCAGACCCACAGCCAAATATTAAGCCAGGTTGGGGGAATCCTGAAGAGAGGGAGGAAGGATTGTAGGAGCCAGAGGGGTCAAGGGAATCACAAAAAAAACCACAAAAACAACTAATCTGGCTCATAGGAGCTCATAGAGTCTGAACCAAGCCTGCATGGGACCAACCTAGGCCCTCTACATATATGTGACAGTGTGTAGCTTGGTCTATTTGTGGGAATCCTAACAGTGGGAGCAAGGGCTGTCCCTAACATTTTGGCTGGCTTTTGGGAACCTATCCCTCATACTGGGTTGCCTTGCCCAGCCTTAATATAAGGGGAGGTGCTTAATCTTCCTGCAACTTGATATGTCATGCTTTGCTGATACCCATGGGAGGCCCTGCCCCTTTCTGAACAGAAACAGAGGAGGACTAGATGGGGGTTAGAGAATGGGAGAAAAGGAGGGAGGGGAAACTGCAGTTGGGATGGGAAATAAATTTAATTAAAATAAAAACAAACCAATGTAATCAGCTCCTAGACCCTATCTTAAAAACAAGCTGGATGGCTCCTGAGAAACGGTATCAGATGAGGATCTCTGGCCTGCAGATCCACACACCCAGAAAGTGAAAAACGAAGAAGAAAAACCATCAGGAAAATAGGGCCCTGGGGAATGACTCCATGGAGGGAAGCGAGGTGGGGGGCAGCTCTGAAAGAGAGGGCTGGGGAGGCCAGCAGAGAGGGTGAAAGGAAATACTGATCCTGTGGACAAGGTGGGGATAACCAAGATGGCTCTCTAATGGTGCAGTTGTTTGGATGAGAACGGCCCCATCAGCTCATCTATTTGAAGGCTTAGTCACCAGGGAGCGGCACTGTGAGCATTTGAAGGACTAAAAGGTGTGGCCTCTATGAACCCTAGAGTGAAACTCATGTCTAAGCATGTTCTAAACATTGCCATCTCCACTAGCAAAACTGTTCTCAAGTTTCATGCTCACTCTAAAAACAAGTCATCTGTTGGCCAGTACAACCCAGGACCACAAATGTTTTTGAGAATCCAGGGGGACAGATCAAAAGGACATGCAGACTAAGCCGACTCCTAATCCTGATATGAAGTTGGCTGTCTCATTCGCTCGCTCAACAAATACTCAGAGGCATGTGTTCTCTGACCCTGTGGTAGGGGCTGAGGATATGCCAGAGATCAGAAAAGTACAGCTTTAAAAAACAAAACAAAAAAAAAAAGAGGTGTGGCCATGTTGGAGGAAGTGCATCACTGAGAGGTGGGCTTTGAGGCTTCAAAAGCCCACACCAAGCCCAGAGTCTCTCTCTCTCTGCCTATGGCTCAGGATATAGCTCTCAGCTCCTTCTCCAGTGCCACACATAATTGCTGCCATGCTACCTGTCATGAAGATAATGGACTATGCCTCTGAAACTGTAAACCACCAGTGACATGCTTCCTTTTAAAAGACTTGCCTTAGTCATGGTGTCTCTTCACAGCAATAGCTCAGTGACTGACAGGAGCATGTGGAAGTTAAGTCTAGCTCATCTGTGTGTAGATATAGGAGGGATGCCCCTACAGAGCCAACAAAGATAACAATGGCAGCAAGGGCTGGCAAGAAGGTACCAGGCATTCCTGGCCACAACATGCTTCCAGACAACAATGGGACCACCATGACAGAAACCTAAGGGTCGAGGGGCTCAAGAGGCCTTCATGCTAGCTCCCTGGTGGCTGGGTTCTGTTTCTACGGCCCAGAGAGACTGAAAAACAGGTGATGGCAGGGAGAGGCGGAGGCAGGACTCTTTCTCAGTGGGTGTCACGAGGTGTTATGGTGCAGCTGGAGGCTGGTGATGCAAAGATGAGTAACAAAAGACCTGGAGGTGATGGGGAGCTGCCGGTGTGATTCCAAAAAGCACTGAGCCCCAAGGTGGGTAATAAATATGGTTAGGTCTAAATAGGAACCAGCAAACCAAGGAAAAAAGGCACTGTGGTTGTGAGCGATGGCTTGGGGGTGGGGCACTGCGTGCTGCAATGACACCAAGGTTTCTGCTTTCAATGCTCAGTTCAGCCCCCAAGGTAGACAGCAAAGGACAAACTGGGACCGAGAGGAAGATGCATGAGGCGCCTGAGTCAAACTGGACTGAGCTTTCTGCTTCCCTGCTCTGTAGGACTTCCTCTAGCAGAGCCCGTGGCCTCTAGCAGTCACGATGCAGGGAATCCATGTGGTCACTCTGTCACACAGGACAGGATCTGGGTGCTCAGTCATGTGGTTAAGCCCACTGCCATCATCTCAGCTGCATTATCTTCAAACACTTTGCTATTCCAATGTGGCCCTATACCAATGCCATTCTGTACAGATCATCTTTAGCTCTTTCCAAACGCGTGAGTGTAGCATGTTAGCGTATCTGCACGTGGAGGTGTGCAAATACCAATGTGTGCAGGCTCCTGGTGGCCAGAGGAGGGCAGCAGGGGTCCTGTTCTAGCTTTCTTCACCTATTCCTTTGAGAAGACAGAATCTCTCGCTGAATGCCGTCCTAGGCTGGCATCCGGAAAGTCTCAGTGGTCCTCCTGCTTCTGCCTTCCAGTTTTTCGTGTGGATGTTGGCATCCGAGCTCAGGCCCTTGTGCTTGGCAGGAAGCATGCTTGCCCTCTGAGCCAGCTCTCAAGCCCCCAGAGCATCCTTTTCAAAATGGTTTTCCTTTCTCTAGCAGCAGTGAGGAATAAGTCAGAGCACTTAGGGAGGACTGGATTCCAACTCTGCCCCTCCTCTCACCTCTCGGCTGCCTTCCACCTTCCTGATTTGTGCTTTGTGATACATATTTCTGCCACCTCCATTCCTTCAGGCAGTTTGTTTTCTATTTGCAATGCCCATTGATATCAGGTAATTTATTGGGGTTTTTGTTGTTGTTATTTTAAGACAGGGCCTCATGGCTGTGCTTGAACACTTCTGATCCTCCTGCCTCCACCTAGTGCTGGTGTCATAGGTATGTATCATCACACCTGTTAACATCAGGTATTTTAATATGCCTTTCCAAACTACTGTCTTGCAAGGGATAACATATGACACTCACCTCCAAATATTGTCTTTGGGCAACCCGGTTGATCCAGTCCTCCATTGGGGTAGAAGTCTATGTTTCCTAGTGGCTCCTTGTAACCCAGCGCTAAAAGAGAACACAGAAGGGTTGCATGGGGACCTTGCACATCCTGACACTCTGCAGGCTTAGGCAGGGACTGTGTTGTGGTGGCTGCTATCATGGCCCTTATACCTATTTAAAGGTCCTGGCCAAAGCTGTCCGCTGCTGTGTTTGAAAGCAGCAAGCAAATTGCATCAGCGTGTAGGTCAGTGCTGGCTGAGCACAAAAATGGTGGTGGAATGGAATCCCACTGTTTCTAAAGACAGGCTCTGGGCTCTTGGCCCCTGCAGGGCTGACCAGATGACCTGTTTCATCTTTACCTTTAGTCAGAGCAATCTAATTGCCAGGAGATTCCTGAACTTCAGTGTGCATTGTGTAAATCTTCACAAAATTAAACATGAAACCGTTTTTACTTAGTAGATTAAAATCTTAAAATTTTTTGGACCTGATCTAGAGAGATGGCTTAGTGATTAAGAGTGGCTGCTACTCCAGAGGTGCTGGGCTGGGTTCCCAACACCCACATGGTGGCTCCCAGCCACCTCCAATGGTTGTAACTGTAACTCCAGTCTCAGAAGATCCAATACCTTCTTCTGGCCTCTTTGTGCACCAGGCACACACATAGTGCACAGACATACATGTAGTCAAAACACCCATATGCATAGAAATAAAAGAATAAAAATAAAAGCTTTGGGCCTAAGCCAGGTGCAGTAGCTCACTCTTACAATACCAGCACTTAGAAAGCTTATGCAGGGGCATTGCTATGAGCTTGAAAACCAGCTTAGGCTAAAGAGTGAGACCCTGCTTCAAACAAACAGACTGGGATCTAGGACAATAAAAAAAGGTGGGAAACATTTTTAAAAATGGGTAAATAGAAATGTAGTAACTTTATTTTCTTTCTTTTTTTTTTTTTTTTTTTTTTTTTTTTTTTT